ACACACAAACTTAACAGACAATAACTTCACACACACAAACTTAATATACAATAATTTCACATACACAAACTTAACACACACAAACTTCACACACACACAAACTTAACAGACAATAACTTCACACACACAAACTTAACATACAATAATTTCACACACACAAACTTCACATACAATAATTTCACACACACAAACTTAACATACGCAAACTTAACAGACAATCAATTCACACACACACACCGTCGTTTTGCGTGGCAGGCGTGGTACACATGGCACTGGGTGGCGCACTTGGTGACATCCACCCTCGTTTCACGTGGCAGGCGTGGCACAAAACTCGCATCCACCGTCGTTTTGCGTGGCAGGCGTGGCACTCATGGTACTGGGTGGCGCGCTTGGTCCGGATTTGTCGCCTGTGACGCCGCGGCACTTTGTGTGGCAGGCGTAGCACTTGGTGACATCCACCCTCGTTTCACGTGGCAGGCGTGGCACAAAACTCGCATCCACCGTCGTTTTGCGTGGCAGGCGTGGCACTCATGGTACTGGGTGGCGCGCTTGGTCCGGATTTGTCGCCTGTGACGCCGCGGCACTTTGCGTGGCAGGCGTGACACTTGGTGACATCCACCTTCGTTTCACGTGGTACCTGTGACGCCGCAGCACTTTGCGTGGCAGGCGTGGCACTTGGTGACATCCACCCTCGTTTCACGTGGCAGGCGTGGCACAAAACTCGCATCCTCCGTCGTTTTGCGTGGCAGGCGTGGCACTCATGGTACTGGGTGGCGCGCTTGGTCCGGATTTGTCGCCTGTGACGCCGCGGCACTTTGCGTGGCAGGCGTGGCACTTGGTGACATCCACCCTCGTTTCACGTGGCAGGCGTGGCACAAACTTGCATCCACCATCGTTTTGCGTGGCAGACGTGGCACTCATGGTACTGGGTGGCCCGCTTGGTCCGGATTTGTCGCCTGTGACGCCGCGGCACTTTGCGTGGCAGGCGTGACACTTGGTGACATCCACCTTCGTTTCGCGTGGCAGACGCACAAAACTCGCATCCACCGTCGTTTTGCGTGGCAGGCGTGGCACTCATGGTACTGGGTGGCGCGCTTGGTCCGGATTTGTCGCCTGTGACGCCGCGGCACTTTGTGTGGCAGGCGTGGCACTTGGGGACATCCACCCTCGTTTCACGTGGCAGGCGTGGCACAAAACTCGCATCCACCGTCGTTTTGCGTGGCAGGCGTGGCACTCATGGTACTGGGTGGCGCGCTTGGTCCGGATTTGTCGCCTGTGACGCCGCGGCACTTTCCGTGGCAGGCGTGGCACTTGGTGACATCCGCCTTCGTTTCACGTGGCAGGCGTGGCACAAACTCGCATCCACCGTCGTTTTGCGTGGCAGGCGTGGCACTCATGGTACTGGCTGGCGCGCTTGGTCCGGATTTGTCGCCTGTGACGCCGCGGCACTTTGCGTGGCAGGCGTGGCACTTGGTGACATCCACCTTCGTTTCACGTGGCAGGCGTGGCACAAACTCGCATCCACCGTCATTTTGCGTGGCAGGCGTGGCACTCATGGTACTGGGTGGCGCGCTTGGTCCGGATTTGTCGCCTGTGACGCCGCGGCACTTTGCGTGGCAGGCGTGGCACTTGGTGACATCCACCTTCGTTTCACGTGGCAGGCGTGGCACAAACTCGCATCCACCGTCGTTTTGCGTGGCAGGCGTGGCACTCATGGTATTGGGTGGCGCGCTTGGTCCGGATTTGTCGCCTGTGACGCCGCGGCACTTTGCGTGGCAGGCGTGGCACTTGGTGACATCCCCCTTCGTTTCACGTGGCAGGCGTGGCACAAACTCGCATCCACCGTCGTTTTGCGTGGCAGGCGTGGCACTCATGGTACTGGGTGGCGCGCTTGGTCCGGATTTGTCGCCTGTGACGCCGCGGCACTTTGCGTGGCAGGCTTGGCACTTGGTGCCATCCACCTTCGTTTCACGTGGCAGGCGTGGCACAAACTCGCATCCACCGTCGTTTTGCGTGGCAGGCGTGGCACTCATGGTACTGGGGGGCGCGCTTGGTCCGGATTTGTCGCCTGTGACGCCGCGGCACTTTGCGTGGCAGGCGTGGCACTTGGTGACATCCACCCTCGTTTCACGTGGCAGGCGTGGCACAAAACGCGCATCCACCGTCGTTTTGCGTGGCAGGCGTGGCACTCATGGTACTGGGTGGCGCGCTTGGTCCGGATTTGTCGCCTGTGACGCCGCGGCACTTTGCGTGGCAGGCGTGGCACTTGGTGACGTCCACCTTGATTACATGCAAGGTCGTTTTGCGTGGCAGGCGCCTCACTGATGGCACTTGGTGACATACACCTTGATTTCACGTGGCACGCGGTGGGCACAATCTCACGTCCATGACGCCAGCAGTTGATCATGACTATTTACCAGGTATACATATGATTACCAGCCACAGGGCATGCAGAAAGAGTTCGCAAAATTTGCGGCTTCGCCCGAAAGAGTGCAGAACATTACTTTGGTCAGCGGAAGTATGGAGAGCACACCATCGCTTTGATAGAGGGCTCTGCCATAAAAGCTCTTTCGGGAAGCAACGTCGGGGAAAAAACCATCAGAGCCTGGTGGAACTCGAAGAAGGCGAGTGAGACACGTCGTGAGACCTAGTGTTCAGCACGCACCCTTGGATCCCACAAAGAATTTCCGTGGTAAGCATATCTTGTTTCTTTTCTGGCCTTCAGTGACAAGTCACTATCTAGTGGAAGAAACACCACCAGACGCGCAACTTTGTCACACACATACACATACATACATTCAGATTCCATTGTGATTTGCAACGTAGGATCGTTCCCGCATTGTAAATGGGGTTGCAAGTGGTGCTGGTGGATGAGTTGCCGATGGAATTCCATACGTGATTTGCAACTCTAGGATCGTTCCCTTTCACAAATGGGATTGCAAGTGGTGCTGGTGGAGGAGTTGCCGATGGAGTTTTGGACAAGTTCGCACTTGAGTTGAGCAGATGGGTTATCCGGTCCTTTAATTCCATACAAAGTCCGTCCCCGAACCTCGATGATCTACCTCTGCGGTGCGACGGTTGCGAGACGGTCTCGTGTGTGGTCGGATCATTCTCGGATCATGTTCGGATCATGTTCGGATCGGTTCCGCATTGTAAATGGGGTTTCACCTGTGTTTCGTGCATTTGCGGTCGACAGAATTCCATTGTGATTTGTAACTGTAGGATCGTTCCCGCAATGTAAATGGGATTGCAAGTGGTGCTGGTGGATGAGTTGCCGATGGAATTCCATTGTGATTTGCAACTGTAGGATCGTTCCCGCAATGCAAATGGCATTGCAAGTGGTGCTGGTGGAGGAGTTGCCGATGGAATTCCATTGTGCTTTGCAACTGTAGGATCGTTCCCGCAATGTCTAGAAGGTTTCGAATGGTTCGGTGGACGAGCTGAGGACGTAATACCATTGTGTTTTGCTAGGGATTGTTGCTAATCGCATTGTAATGGCTGCGTGAACTTGCTGCAGCTTGATTCTTTCAGATTTTGCCTGCTTTCATTTTTTTTAAAATTCTTTATAAAAAACGCTTCAAAACTCAACTTTTTCTGCTCTGGCGTCGAGATCCGGTTTTGGAGCTACAATTTCCGACGCCGTTGCGCGTAGTTCTATTGTGTTTTGCAACTCAGTCTCTGCAGATCGCATTGTAATGGCTGCGTCAAGGTTGCTTCCTGCTGTGGCTGCATTCGTAATACTATTGTCTTTTGCAGCTGGACTTCGTAAATCGTATTGGAGTGGCTGCATGAAGGCTGCCACAGTGATTTGTCAGCAGATTTTCTCCATTTTGGCGCTAATGATTTTCCTTCTAAAAATCCTTTTAAAAAGTGCTTCAAAATCGTCTTTTTTTCGCTATGGCGTCGAAATCCGGTTTTGGAGCTACAATTTCCGACGCCGTTGCGCGTAGTTCTATTGTGTTTTGCAACTCTGTCTCTGCAGATCGCATTGTAATGGCTGTGTCAAGGTTGCTTCGTGCTGTGGCTGCATTGGTAATACTATTGTTTTTTGCAGCTGGATCTCGTAAATCGTATTGGAGTGGCTGCATGAAGGCTGCGACATGGATTTGTTAGCAGATTTTCTCCATTTTGGCGCTAGTGATTTTCCTTTTAAAAATCCTTTTAAAAAGTGCTTCAAAATCGTCTTTTTTCCTGCTCTGGCGTCGAGATCCGGTTGTGGAGCTACAATTTCCGACGCCGTTGCGCGTACTTCTATTGTGTTTTGCAACTCAGTCTCTGCAGATCCTATTGCAATGGCTGCGTCAAAGTTGCTTCGTGCTGTGGCTGCATTTGTAATACTATTGTCTTTTGCAGCTGGATCTCGGAAATCGTCTTGGAGTGGCTGCATGAAGGCTACGAAATAAATTTGTTAGCAGATTTTCTCTATTTTGGCACTAATGTTGTTTTTGTTGCACGTAGGTTTAGAGCAGTGTGAAGTGTGGGGCGTAAAGAGTGCAGTCTGAAGTGTGAAGTGTGAAGGAATCAGTGGGAAGTGAGAAGTGTGAAGTGTGGAGTGTGAAGTGTGAAGTGTGAAGTTTCAGTTTGGAGTGTGAAGAGCGCAGTGTGAAGTGTGAAGTGTGAAGTGTGAAGTTTCAGTTTGGAGTGTGAAGGAAGCAGTGTGAAGTGTGAAGTGTGAAGTGTGGAGTGTGAAGTTTGAAGTTTGGAGTGCGAAGAGTGCAGTGTGAAGTGTGGAGTGTGGAGTGGGAAGACTTTGCTTCGTCTCTCGCTGAAAAAAGCAAACGGTTGTCGAGGGAAGGACACGGTCGGGACAGGGTGTCTTTGAACTATAGGTCATTTATGTTTGGGAAACTTCCGCCGCCGGCTTGCCCGGGCCTATGTTATTCTTGGATATTCTTGGTATAAAATATGTATCCATTTCGTTTGGGGCTGATGACCTTGACTATTTTGACCCATACCGGCGTCAGGTTGGCACAGAAGCACTCTCGTCGCTGGGTCGTGGCATGGAAGCTTTCTCAAAACAGGCGCAGGCGCAGGCTGCGGCGCACATGTGGGCTGCCCAGAATCAGAATGCTGTGACGTGGTGACTTTGAAAAGATCTTTTGAAACGGCTTTGGTGTCAAAAAAACAGTGCGCTTAGTGCTTACACTTGAGAAGCCAAAAAATGGGATTTCTATTCAGGTTTCTCCAAAGTGAAGTTCTAAGATGTTCCAAGCATTTCAACTTTTGTCATGGAACCACTGGAACCCAGGAAAGATCGCTCAGAGGTAGAAAGTCTCAAGGCTCGCATACGCGCTGCACAAGAGGACCTCCCGGATCCTTTCGGATCCCATGGCCGTGGCGGCCGCGACCCACATAGATAAACTGGTTTTGAACCTTTCCATGTTTGGATGCAGAAGCTGGTGCCGATGTATGACATGTATGCAGTGTCATTGCGATTTTTTTGGGGGCTTGAATGGCTTGAATGGCTTGAATGAATCCTCACTGATTTGGGACTTGAGAGTTGGACAGCGGAGAGAGACGCGCTTGGACTCACATCAGGAGGCGCAGGAGTTTCGCTCGGTTGCTGCGAATGCACGGCAAGTTGCGCAAACGCGTTCGCAGGAACGTGCGATGCAGGCTGGGAATCTCACAGCTTCGGCGCTGCTCCCAGCAGATAGAAACCCATCAGCTCGTGGCCCTTTGCTCAGCTTAATCCAGGTGATTGGGCTAGTGATAAATCTGATAAAGCAATGATAAAGCCATTTAGCTCGCATTAACATGTATTCAACTCATACTTCAGAACCTCAGTGTTTGAGTGGCTAAAACCCATTTCCAGCAGGTAGTAGGGTCCTGAATATTGAACTTCCTCAGTTTTTCAATTTCCAGGAAGCAGAAGCTGACCAGTCAGATGATGATGAAGATACCATGCTCCTGAAGCAGAAGATCAAGGTGGGTCAGAGCGGTTTTCTTCGAGCGTTCGTATCTTGGAGAATTATTGCTAAAGAAATTCTACGCTGTTTTGCGATCTTGACACATGCTCGCACACAAAAGAAATACTGCTACATTAAGACATACGTTGAACAACACATTAAGACACACATTGAGCATCATTAAGCACTGTATTCAGCAATGTATTAGTCGACATGGTCATTGACGCATACTGTATCATCTCTCCAGGTCGCTTGCTCGCTTCGCCAGGCACAGCAAGACCAGCTTGATCGGCTTCTGGAGATTTTCCGTCGACAGCAGGCGACTCGCTGGGGTGAAGGCTGCCGTCCATGCCATCCATGCCATCCATGCCGCGGATGATCTCCACCAATGGGCCCGTCCATCACAGGAGCAGGTTGTGAAGCTTCAGGATCAGCTGAGTGGTCGGGAGGAGGAAAGGCAAAAAGTTCTGAAGCGCGAAGTGGAGGCCATTGTGGGCTGGCCCAAAGCTTCACATATAAAACTGAGAGAAACGGGTCAAAACAACTAGAAACATCACTGGGAGATACTGGAACCTTCGTTTTTTGAACAGGAATGCAAAGAAATTGTGAAGGTAGGTGACAGATTGGAATTATGAAGACATGCCTCTAGCATTGGATCCTTTCTCAGGCAAAGCTCAAGGACAGAGAAAGCCAGGTGGAGGTTGGGAACACGGGGAAAACCGGATCCGTCGAACATGCTGAGGAGTTTGGGACGGCCTGTCTTTTCTGTTGGGAAGCACGTGAGAGTTGCTGGATTCCAGCGACAGCGACAGAAAATCAGTTGCTAGGCCAAACTCATGGCAAGTAAAGCTTCCTTCCAGCTATATATTGTAACCATACACTGATGTCATCGCGTATTATATATAAGATTATATAAGCATATACTAGTATAGAATACTAAATCATAGATTGTAATAGTATGTTGTCCATTATTGTCCTAGATTGGAAGTAAAAATGATCAAACAATCCTAAGAACCAGCCATTTCTGGTCCATTTTCCCCTGAAATTGGCCGCTTGGGGGTTGGGTATATCCACCTCCAGACATTCGACGGGGAAAACAATGCCCTGACAAATTGAAGATTGTTGGTTACATATGGATGATATCCAAAAAATCGTATATCCCAGTAAAATGGCTAGTTTCATTCACAATGGAAAGGGCAATTATTTCAATGATTAATCATGGTATGTATATGTATATATATATATGTATATATATATATGTATATATATATACACACATATATATATATATATCTACATATATACATACATACATATATATATATATATATGTATACAACATACTATCAGCAGTTAAGATACCAGCATCCCCATGTTCCAGAAAAAGCATCCCTTTCTTCCAGCCTTCCAGCCCCCCTTTTTCCACGTTTTTCCATGGCTGGTCGTTCCAGGCTTTGCTTCGCCAGCTTCGCTGCGCCGAAGAGGAGTCCCGTGAGTCCATGGAGCTCAGGCCGAGAGATGCAGGGCTCGTGGCTATTGGGGGTTTGATCGTTTGATCTATGTACCATCAATAGAGGATATCCTATGATCATGCATCAACAGGAACTGAAGTTTATAATTGATACATGTTAAACCTTTTTTTTTAAATAGTTTATACATGTTGATAAATGAAGTTTATAGTTTCAAATTAATATAAACTATAACTGATTTATACATGTTTATACTGGAATATCATTGATATAATTGAATATCATCGATACATGATGGATGATTTTACAGGGTTATAATTTTAAATAGGGACTACTGTATCACAGTCAAACATGAACGGGGATCCCCTTTTACTATACCAACCAGTATGAAGGACAGAGGGTGTGTAATGCGTGCTAGGCATGTGTGCAGGACGAATCATGATAATATGACTGGATCTCAAAAACGATATTGGAGTTCTCATCCAAGTATTGGCTTATGCACAGGAAAAAAAACATGTGCAACGGGGACTTTTCCGACAAAAAATGGCCTATGCACATAACAATTTGATTGAACCTACGGTAAGCTCAATCTAGCCGAAAAAAATACGGCTAAGTCTTCGTGTAAACTAGACTCTGCAGACTTGCCTGTTTTCTTACTACAAATGATCAGCTGATTGAGTTCTTTTTTTGAACTTCATTCGGCATGGCCATGGACAGGAAATCACGGAGTCTGTGGAAGTTGGGATGATTTCTTTTTGCATCAGGAAAAGTTGAGAAATCACCAGGCACTGGTAACGAGGAAATACAGACAAAACAGGACCTCCAACAGAATCCCAGCTATTTCTTTCTTTTTAAAATCATCTCTTCCTTTTTAGGGATTTGCACAACCTTTCTTCTAGATTGTGCTTTTGCTTCTTCCTTTGTCATGTTGGCAATTCCACGAAAAAGCAAATCTTTGCCAATGGAATTCGAAGATCAAAGACACTGAAAGCGATTCTCGTCGCCAAAAGCTTCAGTTTTTTTGGCAGGAGCCAGCTCCGGGATTTTGCCGAACAGTCCATCAACCGAGACCACGTGTGGAGCTTGGCACTGCGGCCACTCATCTTTTTTTGTCATGGGTTGTGACACGTGGACGTTGACGACCATGACGACCATGACGACCTTCGTTTGCTCCTCAGGTCTTGGCGGAGATGCGATCCGTGTTTAAACAACAGGCTGAACTCGGGTGAATCTTCTACCAATTTCTATCCATCATTCGACATTGCGTTGGTATATACAGCTTACACATGCCATCACCACTTGGTTGAGCTTGGGGTTTCTGTTGACTGCAAACTTATCAGCTGGAGCGGAAAGAGTTCCTTAAAAACGAGAGGGTCAAAGCGCATGGATTCTGGAGGCGGCAGTTGATGGACTGCAACAAGAGAGGCCAGGGTTTCCGTTTCAGAACCACTGCAAGTGTATCGGGCGAAAACGTATTTGGGTTTCAAATCGTCACAGATTACCAATGACAGCTTCGAATATTCGTTCAGGAGATTGCTTACTCGTGGCGACATCAGGTCTGATACATTCTGACACTGTAGATCTAATTGAATGGAATGTACAGATGATGGGTGATTTGTCTCTTTTTGGAAACCCTAAACCTAGGCCGCCAGGTCGCTAGTTTCATGCACCAGGCTCTTCATGGTACTGGAGGATCTGAAGAGTTTTTCGTGGAATCGCCCATGGCATCCTGTCGGGCACCCAGTGGAATGGTTCTGGAAGTTTCTGATTTCGAAGGGTCACAGTTCTAAGGTGCGAATATAACATCTGTTGTGTAAAGTGAATTTTGATGAATTTTGCATGGATTGCAGAATGACGGAATATGAACAGGCGTGATTGGACCAATTGGACGCATTCCATTCACCAAGCATAGCCTGCATAGCTCAGGTTAACGAAATGGAGGCTTCATCCCTGAGAGGTTGGTGGTTTCGATGTGTTTGTCTTGGTCCAAGTGTCCAAGGTGGTGGCTTTGCAACGCTTTGCTTGTGGTAAACATGTTCATCCAGAATGGTGGCTGCCAATTTCGATGACCAGCTATCATTTTTTTGGGGGAACCTGCAGTACTAAACTCGGGGGTTATCAATCTGGGGTTGACATCATCATTGACGTTTCTGTAGGTTTCCTATTGCAGTTGGGGCTGACAGGTGATGAGTCTCCGACCGATGTTAATGCATCAGCCGAAATCTCAAGAGTGTGGCAAAATGACTCCGTTGAAACTGATGACTCAGCATTGTGGAGTTTGATGGTGATTAAGAATCCACTGAACATATATCACTGGCAATACTGGGGACATCTAGGAATCTACAGAAACTTTCACCATAGATTTTCTCCGAAACTTCAGGCCGTCCACGTCTGCGAAGCAGGCTCTGCCGCAAAGCAGGCGAGGGGCCCAGGAGAGGGGCCCGGTTTGGCCCGGTTTATGGCCATGAAAACATGGGAAAACCCATGGGAAAAGCCTGGTATGAGGATAAACCATGGATAAACCGCAGGTTTTTCTTGTACTCAGTTTTGAGTAGCCACACGATACTTATGATACTTCACACTGCTGATTGAATGTACCCTCTGGTACTGTAATTTAATTTAACATAGCTATTGAAATTGACCATTTATAGTGGATTTACCCATTGAAAATGGTGGATCTTTCCATAGTTATGTGACAGTTTACCAGAGGGTAATGATTTTTGGTGATTCTGAGGGACTAGCAGGGGATGTTTGTGGGATTTCCCAATCCTTTCAGGTCTTGCGTGCGACTTTGCAGGTTCAAGTGGATCTAGACCCGGCCAACGCTCTGCCGGTGGTGTACAGAAGGCCTATGCAATTTGGGCATATTTGGACTATGAATCAAAATGGGTATGGGTCAATACCTATAAGTACCATTTTTAGTGGGATGAACATCCATAAATCCCAGCTATGACTTGGGGTTCACTAGGTACCAGGGTTTTGACCCATCCCCAAATGTTTTTTTTCTTGGAACATGAAAAATCAAAACTAGCTGGTCAGTGGATGTTCACCCCCTATGAGCAGTGTTCAAAAGCCACAACGTCGCCCCTTCAAAAACTGGCTGGTGAAGAGCGGATTTCGCAGTTCATGGATTGTGATTGTCAGGATCATCCCCAATATATATGTATATATATAATTATATATATATATCAATATATATATATATATATATATATCAATATATATATATCAATATATATATATCAATATATATCAATATATTGGATAGTATAGCCATGATGTAGAACCCATATATTATTTAATGATATGTAATAAGCTTAGTCAACCAAAGAGGGTTTTGAGCATTGCATGTATCCAAAGTCTGCCGCCAGACGTCTCTTGCAGCAGCTCGAAGATCTGAACATCGAGAAGGCGACAAACAAAAACGGCGACCGGGCAAACACAGACGGGGATGGGTCAAAACCTATGGTTTTCCAATGTTTTCCATATGAAATTGGGAGAAGACTTGGGAAATGGGGACAAGTCGACGGAAACAGTGGCTCCACTGGCTCCATCTGGAACTGTTGGATCATAGATTCCTGGTGATCCTTTGGCCGGGCTAGGCGTTGCTGGAAAAGCGCGCGGCTCGAGAAGTGCAGGAGCTCTGACCACTTGGATGTTGATGCTCCACAAATGGCAATTTCAAACGGGAACATGATTTGAAACTGATCAAACCATATCAAACCTGGTTTTCAGACTTGCAAGTAACTTGCCAACTTGAACCTTTGAAGTCATTGGTTTGCGAGATGAGGAATGACATATTCAGGCTGAAACTTGCCTTTGGTTCTTTTTGCCGCAGGATTTAGAATCGTTGGTGAAACTCCAGCAAGATGATTTGCGACGAAGGTGCCCGTCGTGATAATGCACTGGGCCAGAATTGAAGATGTTGAGATGTAGACTCTACCCGTGAAGAAGCCTCACTAAACCACCAAAGATAGAACATACCTTAGAAATCTGGAAACCTCTACTGTGTACTATCCTGAAACTTACTTTTCTATCTTTTGGGGGGGGCTACGTATTAAAAAACACCAGTTGAGATTACGGTGAGATTACGGCTAGTTGTGGAAGATCGGTTTTGTCACGCGTGCAGTCCTCTGGAGGTTTCTACCATATACACACATATGTAAATATACACATATCACTTCCTACCCTTTTTATGAAATAAGTTTGAGATGATGCAAACCCCGCAGTGACCAATACGAAATTCGAGTGGGGTTTCCACCATTGCCGTTGCAACCTCTGAAGGCGTGAAGCGAAAAGTGACAGTCCAAAACCCTTGCCAAAGAAGCAGGAGATGACGCAGGAGATGAAGCAGACGGATATCCACGGTCAATGCATTCAACGCGGAGGGAAAACGGAGTTAACCCTCTCTTCTATCAAAGGTCAATTGATGTCAATTGTGTTAGCGGAAAACCTGGTTTGTTTCGGTTTAAAAACCCTGACCTGAAACTGTCAGGACTTCGTCGTTGAATCTGACTGGCAAGGCGCAAGGGCTGCAAGGGCTGCAAGGGCTGCAAGGGCGGCCCATGGCTGTGTCCACTGGGTTTGTTGGTGCAACGGTCAGGTGAAGACGATGTGCTTCCAGTGGTTCCAGTTGATGTTCAGAGCGCTTGGTTTGCTGCGCAGAAGGTCCCGTGACCTGATGTGCAAATTCGTGACTTGTGCTGTGCTTTGCAGCAATGTGAGGGCCCCCAAGATAGCTAAGTTGGTTTATAAGTCCAATAACTATGAATTATGGTATTTATAACTATAGTTACTGGGGCTTATAAACCAACTTATAACTGGGGGGCCTCACATTGAGGGTGTCTGCGGATTGGCTCTTTAACTGATCTGAGATAGTGATGATCTGTCCCCATGACAATGAGCGGCTTGTAGCCTAACAATCGCTACGCATGTGAGGGCCATTTTGTGCAGCCGTTGGCTTTTGGCCATGAACCTTTTTTTCTCTAAGTTTCTCTTGGCTACCCTCTGGCTATTTAACATAGCCATAGGAAATGGCCCATAGAAATAGATGGTTTACCTATGAAAATAGCATGGTGGATCTTTCCATGGCGAACTGTTAGTCATAACCAGATATTGGGATCCCCATATCCATGGTGATTTACCTATTAATAGCATGGTGATTTTCCATGGCTAATTCTGAGTTTTTGGGATCCCCATCTTCCAACATCTTCCAACATCAAGCAGGTTGAGTTCCACGACATCAGCTCGGATGGCGAAGATGTCCTCGATGCCGAGCAGAGGTGTTTTGGATCGCCCATGATTTATGGATGTTTGATCATGGCAAAGCGTTAAAAATAAGCTGTGAATAAGGGAATAGCTATGGTACACATATGTCAACTATGTAAACATCCATAATAATAGCCTATTAGCTAATTTCATGATGATTTTCAATAGTTATGTGGCGATGGTTTCGAATTCTTACCAACATTGGAAAGCCGGATACGTGTTCGCTTTCATGCTCCAATGCCCATGGCTCAAAAGTATAGGCCATGTTTCAAAGATGGGTAAAGGATAATGACACCAGTTTGATTTTGAGAGCCCAAGACTTTTGAGACCATTCACTTGGTTCTACACCCGTCTGCTTCCTACTTGACCAACCAGGTTCTCTGTGCCTTTTGCTGAAATCTTATCATCGGCACCAGTATGTGCTCAAACTGACTAGGATACAAAAGAAGATGCCGTCGCAGTCGCCGCGACATTGTTTGTCTTTTGATTTTTCAAAGTGGTTTTGCCCATTGTCCGTCTGGGTCATAAAAACATGGGAATTGCTGCTGACAGTCAACTTTAACATTCACGACTTATAAAGCTTGGTTGATTGAGGGGCTTCCCAGTAGCCAGTGGTGAGTTGCTGCTTCCTGGGCCAGAACTATGGAAGCATGCTGGTTGCAGACGTTGGACTACATGGTATACACAATGCTTTCGACCTTACGAAGCTGATATACGTGATATATCTTGATAGCTGATATATTTTACGTATCATATTATATGATGATATACATATATATATATACATATATATACATATATACATATATATATATATACATATATATACATATATATACATATATATATATATGTATATATATATGTATATATATATTATAATATACATATATATCTATATATACATATATATAATCATATATATATATATTTATATATTTATATTTATATTTATATAAATTTATATATCAGATATGTTAGGATTCATGTTAGGAATCCACATTTTCGCTCCATTTCCTGCTGTCCCAATGAGATGCCGCAGCCGCCCCAAGGCCAGAGGAGGTTCAGGAGGCCGATTTAGGGAATGTTAACAAAGTTGTAGGGATTGTTTAGGGAATTTTCTTGACGAATCGGAACGCGTTTCCTTTCTGGGTGTGAAAGCATTGTCGCGGTTTGTTGAATCTTGGGTGCTTACGAAAAAGGTGACGTCTTGTGGAGGAAATGTAAAGCAAAATGGGGTTGCATTCCCTACGTAAAACGCACCAAGTCTTTTTCTGGAAAAAAATCGACGATGAAATCCGATGAAACGCGCAGTACCCAGCTGGGCTCCATTACGTTCAGCGTGTGGCGGAACTGGAAGCGCAGAGCGATGAGCTGAAACAGCCACTTGGCGAGTTGGCGTTGGCACCTCTGATCAACAAAAACACAGTGGGATTATCAGATATATCATGGAAATACCGTTGGCACTGACTTTCTAATTCCCATGATATTTGTGCTCAAAATTGGAATTTAACGAGCAATCATGGGCACATGATCGAAGAATTTATTGCTGACAATTGAGCCTAATTTGGATTCAGCAATCATCAGCAACCAACAAAACAGGACATGTACGTGACAATAAGTGGGCGAAAAAAATGGATAAGATCTTTACATCTGCCAATCTGATTTTCTGATGTTTACCCACCCAAGGCTTCAAGGCTCAGGGATGACTCAAGAAATGACCACAGATTTCCGATGACCACAGATTCTTTGTTGGTTGATTTTTCCATAGGAAAACCTGCCTGAGATTTTTCCATGTTTTTCCCATTGGAGCCACAGAAAAACCAGGTGCTTAGAAGCCCTTCATGCTTCGGAGAGTGCGCTTCGCCGGGAGAGCCAGGCGTGAAGCCTTTTGGCGCATGGCGCATGTGGCACTGTGTGGCACGCGGGAAGATGATGATAGGTACTAGCTATTTCAGCTATTTTGAGGCAAACCCATCGGTTTGAGGATGAAAACCAATGGAAGGGCAATAAAACTTGGATGCTGAGAATTGCGGGACAAACGACAGCACTAAGAAAGATGTGGCAGACTAGTTCGAAGGAGAAAGAAAACCAGGACGACAAGAATCTCAGCAAAATCATATGTTAACCATATGCAAACATCATATGTTTTGGTAACTTCTACCTACCCCACATTTGGAGGGGACTGATCCTCATTCTTCGCGGTTGTGTCGTCAGGAGAAGAATGATCTCATTGCTGTGCTCCTGCGGAAGGCTTTCTGAGCCATCCCTTGCCATGGACATAAAAACCCTCCAAATTCCTACTCCCCATATTTTTGGCAGGGTTTTCTGGTAAAAATCGTTTGCGGTGTTTGTTTGTAAAATGGCAGGTATATGGCAGGTTATAGGGGTACCTTGTGTCAATTTATCAACTTCTGAGACTCTAAGCCATGAGAAAGTAAATTATATCATATATCATATATATATATGAATGATATGATGTACCTTGCGCTCGACACGGACAGTTGGGAAAATCAAGGGCGGTGTGGACATTCCTTCAAGAAGCTGCAGAGGCAAAGCTGCCCGACTCCGAGACTGGTTTGAGTCTCAGTGATGAAGCATGACATAAAGCTACCTGTTTTTTGTACACCGTGACGTTCCAAACAACAAGATTTGTGTGTTTGGAATTGACAAAGGGGGCTTCAATGCTGCTTCCCTGTGGCTGGTCATTGCTGAGGGGTGTGGCGAAATCGCAAAACTGCTTCCGAAGAGGTGCTTTGACCTGCTGCCTGCTGCTTCCAAGAAGACTTTTGGCCCTTTGCATTTTTTGGCAAAGAAGTGACCTTGTAGTCGTATTCTATAAGTCTCAGAGTTCAATTTCTTGGACCCACTGCAAGAGCTTTTCTCAGCATGATTTTGTTCGACATCCCATGTCAACTATTGTGACATTGTGACTATGGTCTCCTGTGGTTCAGCAATCTGCAAGTGGCAAGTTGAAAACCCGAAGGAGGTCAGAGAGCTTGAGCGGATTGTGGAAGAGACCACAGAAGACAACATCCGGCTGAGGACACAAAGCAGTTTTTTGTGGCTTGCCGGTTTCGTAAGGCATGGGGGACCCCAAAATCATCCAAAATCCAAGTTATTGGCATATTATCCACAACAGCATCCATGGCTTGACCTTAAAATCATCCATGGTCCGAAACTTCTGCAGTCCACAACACTCGTCCCCAGGAATGACATGAAGATAATGTCCGATGAGCTGCGAAAAGTGCTACGAGATGTTGAGGTTGGCACGCGCGGAGCTTCAAGCAGAGTGCTTCATCATAGAAAATCAAGACCTGTGATGACTGCAGTGTGATAGAACCTCACCACGTCACCACGTTTTTCTGCAAAAACCATCCATAAAAAGTCTTGAATCATCTTGAATCCAGATCAGACTCTGGATGCGTCCGATGTTTGGAGTCTTCTCAAGATTCGATTTACCCTCTGGTAAACTGTCACATAACTATGGAAAACCACCATTTTTCATGGGAAAATCCACTATTTCTATGGCCATGTTCAATAGCTATGTTAGTTTACCAGAGGGTACGTATGTCACACATGTCAGGCTCGAACGCCGAAGGCGCCTGGAAGCCAAAAAAAATGCCGCGTGCCCTCCGTTCAGACCTGCCACCGACCTGCCAAGATCTGGCCGCCATGGGTCGCAGCCTGTCTCCTTCCCAGAACGCTTTCTCAAGTTTTTTCTGTCAGATCTGATGAGTTTTTCACTTTTCAAAATTTTCAAAACACAGAGGCAATTTGAGATCATATTTAAGATCATCTGATAAATCTAATGGCAATGATATATATATATATATGGCAAAACACCTGATAAAACCGATCTTCTTCAAATCGGAGATTTGAGATCTTGACGGTTTTTAAGCACCTGATTGGATGATCTTGGTATTGATCTTGGTACATTCGTAACTACTAGTATTTGGTCAAACATAAACCACAAATTTTTCTTGAGCCTCCTGTTGGAAATAAAGAGTATTAAAAAAAACATTTTTCACCTCTCCATTTTTGAAGCAAATTTCAACTCTGTGTGGACATGGCGGGATCTTAAAATCAAAGATGATAGATAAGGAAAACAACATTGAATTTCCTGCCGGACCCTAACCACTACTTGTGAGACATGATGGCAACACACACACACAAACACACGCACACATCCAGGAAAACCATTTGGTCATAAAAATATTGGATTTATGTCACAAAGAGGCATCTGGCCCTGCGTGTTTCATGAGCTTCGGTCTTGTGTTTTGGTTCCTTTTTGTTACCGGCTCAGGGCCGGGAAAATCCAGGACATACACATCCATTATGCAAATACCTGCACATACCATCTCTGCTAGGTCGGTGCTTTTGATGGGTGCTGAAAGTTCGATACATAACTCATGGCCACGGCCAAGAACACACTGGAAATCAGCCAAATGCAGCAGCCATCGTTTCACGGTTGAAAAGGACCTTCTTTTTGGCGATAGTTTTAGCTGGGCGTCATGGTGTAGTGGCGACACCGCGATCCTTCGTGGCATGCCCGGATTGATGAAGGAGCCTCGTTTGCCGGCTGTCGTGCGCAGAATCGATGGCTGTGGGTCAAACATGAAACGGTTTTCGAAATGCCTGGGTGCCAAGATGGAATACGCCCTCTGGTAAACTGTCACATAACTATGGAAAGATCCACGATTTTTAATGGATAATTCAACTATTTCTATGACCATTTTCAGTAGCTTTTTCTATGTTTACCAGAGGGTAGAAGTGAACAACTCTCGTTCTGGTCTCGGTCACGTTGATCCCATAGCTGCCATAGCTGCCAGTGATCTGCCGCGCGTTGAGGATGGGTCTCGATGTTGCAGTCGCCCTTCACAGAACCGATGAATCTAGGTGACTTGTCATCGAAATGTCCCAGAAATGAGGAGATTTCTGCAGATTTCGAAAAAGGCAAGACATATGTCATGGACATGTTGTTTTCATTGTGTTGGTTTCAGTCATAGTTTGCCATCATATTTAATGAGATACATATACGTATATATATATATATATACTTCCCATCATATAATTCAGATATATTTAGATATGATAATCGAATCAGATTTGCATTAGTTTCCCACAAAAACAATGGTTTCCTTGTAGATGTTCCCTTCAACGAAAGCCTTCTCCAAGGCCACCTCCATGGGCATCTTTGAGGCCGGATGTTCCGAATCGACGAATCCAGACATTGACATTGGATGAAACAAAGACAGTTGGATATGAATCATATAATTAAAACATTGGTAAATCAAGACAGTTGGATATGACAGTTGACATTGGTAAATGGATGTTCATCCCCCTAAAAATGGTATTAATAGGTATTGATCCATACCCATATATATATATATATATATACACCATCTGGTTATTTAACATAGCCATGGGAAATGGCCCGTAGAAATAGATGATTTTCCCAGCTAGAAACCTCCATTTATTTTGGGGATTTTCCATGGCTATGTTAGTCATAACCAGATGGTACTTATAACATATTATAACATATTATAAGAAGAATTGTCCAACTTTTGAATTACCAATATGGATGGAATATGAATATCCGATATCCCATTAGCATTAGATATGTGGATATGATATTTTCATTATAAGATATTTTTATTGGTGTAATAGGAGATTCATAGGATTACACCCATTATAACATCTGGTTGGTGGTTTGGAACATGGCTTTTATTTTCCATTCAGTTGGGAATGTCATAATCCCAACTGACTTTCATATTTTTCCGAGGGGTAGGTATACCACCAACCGGACATATTATAACATATTACAACACAATAATCTATGACCAACGTGATTCTTTTGGAGATGATATCAAACAGATTCAATAGTTGATAGATCTAGCAATACCAACTAAATCCCAAACTGGGCAATAAAAAAAGTTGATAGCAATAAACTGCTGAAGATCCTTGACTCCATTGGATAAATCATAAGGAACAGCCAGTATGACTTTGGTGGCAGGTGCTGGAGCAGATTTCCATGGACCTGTTGCAAGTCAGATCCTGAAGATTGAAGTGTTGGTCGGAAAATAGGGCTATACCGGGTATACCTGATCTTATGCCAATTTGTGGGGAAACTGATGTTTTCAATCATTGAAATTTAGGGAAACATGACGATATGTTGCACAAACTCCTATTGAATCTAGACATATTTTGAATGCTCAATACTATAACAAATGCAGAGCTGAAGAGTATATTCTCAAGATTTTTATCTCTTTTCGGTGGTTTCACATATATACTTCATATATTTTTTATATATTTCATGCTGGGATTTCGACAAATCTTCGGCTCGGCACGGGTTTGGTTTTTTTCAAGGAGAGCTCCGCGCTTCTGACAGAACGGGAGGCGAGTCGACAGCGCCGACCTGGAAAGCAACAACAATGGGGATGCACAGCAGTAGATGTCACCTAGAAATGAGGGTACCCTCTGGTAATTTAACATAGCTATGGAAAATTACCATTCTTAATGGGAAAATCCACTATAAATGGTGATTTTCAATAGCTATGTTAGTTTACCAGAGGGTATACTGCTAGTATGGAAATCCCGATCAATTAATCAATAGATTCATCCAGAGTATTGGAGTTGACATTCACAATTCAAGACCATTGCCTCCGTTTTTGGCCCTGTCCAAACACGTGTGAAAGTCTGTGCTCTAATTTAAAGGTCTTCCATGGCTGAAAACATCATAAGGTCGCACAATATATGGGAGTTTCAGAAAGAGCGTGTGAGCTTCAGAATGGTTCGCGTACATGTGTACCGCAAAAGACAGAATATGCGACATGTGTAGCTTCTGAACGAGATTGATTCAACTTAATAGGGGATTTTGGTGGGCCCCCAATGCTTGCAAACTGTCCAGATTGTCACTGAGAAGAAGTGGTCCCATTTGCTCGGTGTCTGTTTTTACATCGTTTTTTTTTCCATGGGATTTGACAAGAGGATGCAACGGATGGATCCTGGAACCTGACCCGTGATGTGTCTCGAACAGACATCTCACAGGAGAAAAACATCTCAGTGAATCATCCCGATAGATTTTCATGCCTTTGACCCGAATTTTTGGGGAACTGACCAAGCACCAATTTGTTGCGAGGAGGAAATCCGAAGCCGGCCATCGACTTTGGCCAACAGCGCTCTCTGCGACAATCGCAGCTTGGTTGATTCAGTCGATTCAGTTCCATATGGGTATGGATCAATACCTATTAATACCATTTTTAGTGGGATGAACATCCATTTACCAGCTATTTTGATGTTCACCAGGGGTACTATTGGTTTTGACCCATCCCCATATGATGCAGCCTCCTGACCCCTAAAACCACTTTTTTCCAAGCAAAAGTCACACATTTTGGATGATTTCGGCATCATTTTCAGAACTCAGCTTGTAAAATATCTGATCAGCTTTCGTTCTACGTTGGCCAATGGCAGATCAACAGGCACCAGGAACAAAAAATCCAATGGTTTGAGCATGTTTAAAACAACGTTTTCCCTATGAAAGCTTCGGCAAAATGGGATGCAATTCCATGCCCCAGTTGTGGACAAAGCCAATGGCTTATGTATATTTAATATATATATATATGCAGATCACATTATTCCATGTATCAGCCGCATTAAATTTGCCAAGAAATATCCTATGGGAGATCCCATATCAAACCTTAATTCTATCCCATATCATATTCCAGTGGGGATCACATTCCGATAAATCCCAATAAATCCCAATAAATTCCATATATCATACCCTCTGGTAAACTAACATAGCTATGGAAAATCACCATTTGTAATGGGTAAATCAACTATAAATGGCCATTTTCAATAGTTATGTTAGTTTACCAGAGGGTATATCCCCATATTCCCCATGTATTTTAGGATGTCGTAAACCATGGTAACTCCTTGAGGCAACATGGTGATGGCTGCCGTGGAAACTTCCGGCTATGCCTTGCAGCACGCCTCCGCCAGGCTCCAGGGCTCTCATCTCCAGAGAGATGATCTTCACTATCAACATATATAGTAATCTACATGGCTGTTTCAATATCAACATATATAGTAAATGACTATAGAAAATCATACCCTCTGGTAATTTAACATAGCTATTGAAAATGGCCATAGAAATAGTGAGTTTTCCCATTAAGAATGGTGATTTTCCATAGTTATGTGACAGTTTACCAGAGGGTAACTATAACTATAGAAAATCACCACAACTATAGAAAGATCAAGGGGATTTACGGGGATTTAATGGAAAATGTACCCTCATTCAATGGTGATTTTTGTGGGGATTTAATGGTGATTTATATAATGGTGATTTAATCTCTGGTAAACTGTCACATCACTTTTTGGAAAGATCCACTGTTTTCAATGGGTAAATCCACTATAATGGGGAAAATAGACATATCTTCGAGATATCTGTTTTTTTTTTGAAATTGAGCTGGGGTTTGGAAAACGATAATACACTCTTCAAAAATTGATGACTTGGAGCTATATACCAAATATTGACAGTGGCCCATATAGTAAATGATGCTCCACCAATTACATAGCCCAGGGGGCATTCGTTTTTTTCGGGGGCAGTGCGCCAGTTGAACCAGGCTCCGTGCGGATGTGGAGGTGGTGTGGACGGCGATCCAACAAAGTCCCGATGCGCTGGCCTTTGCCGATGCCAAACTTCGACGGAATAAGCCGCTGGTGCTACAGGCACCTTTTGATGGGAGAAAAATGGGATGATTGTTGAGTGGGTTGGTGATCATATTTGTAATCATCTCCAATGGGGGGCATTTTTAAATGGACATTTGAACTTATTTAAGCAAGCGTTTTGTGAGGATATCGTGAGGATATCGTGAGAAGCCTCATGGTCTCAATATCGCCAACAATATATGGGTTTCTCCGAACATCAGGTTTTGCTAAAATATACATGGTGATTTCTATGTGGAAGAGGATGATTTGTTGGAATTGGGGATATTGGGGATATTGGGGCTAGCCTACTTTTAGACAAACCCTCATAGGATGAAAGAATCTGAGGATAAAGATGGATTGCCAGATGATTCCGTTTTGATCTACTCTCCAGCTGCAACTGCACCTGACTGGTCATTTAGGTATGTCCCAAAATGGTCGGCCCTCATTTTGGAATGCTGAAAATGATGCATCTGAGTTCAGCCAGGTACCTACTTTTGACCCACAGCCAACGATTTTCTGATTATAGATAAAGTATGATAAAGTCCAGGTGTTGATTAATTCCCAAATCTAGCCAATTCATCAAATAATCAAAAAAAAATCAACCAATCATAAACCAGCATATCTCCAAGTCAATAAACCAGCAATTTTTGACGCTCAGAAAACCACCAAAAATCGCCATCCAGAAATCTGGTGAGATTTTTTTCGATCTCTGGAGGCAGTGAAGAGCTGCCCCAGTGCACTACACTTTGCATCAGCTGAGTTGAAGGCAGATAAGGCGCTGCGAAAAAAACTGGTGCTTAAACTGGTGGCGCTTTTTGGCTCCAGTTAAAAATCACTTTTAGGATAGAAAATAAGAGGATTTTAGATGAGTTACTGAGTTGAAGGCAGCAAAGCAAAGGGTTTTTTACTCCATTTTTGGTCAATCTTAAGTGGCTTTGGTAAGTCTCGAAATCGCTGGTTGGGTCAACTATGAGTGATGAAAACAGGCAATAGAAACTGGGTAAATGATGGTAGACCATGGCCATTGAATTCTGGGGCCAATCAGACAGACCCAAATTAGGTCCTGCATCGAATGGTCTACTGCAACGCATGCGTTTTGCATGCCCCCAGCAAAACGCAGCCATGTTGCTGACGGTTGAAGCAAAACAACACGGGTTGTTTTCGTTGGTGAACACTTGGGCTGATCCATTCTTTCCTTTTAGTACCCTCTGGTAAACTGTCACAAAAAACTATGGACAATCACCATGCTATTAATGGGAAAACTCACTATTTCTATGGCCATTTTCAATAGCGAACTGTTAGTCATTACCAGAGGGTATCTTTTGGGATTTGCCGAAGCGAAACTTGATCCGCGCAGGTATCCCATGGTATCCCTTCTTGTCTCGTCTCAGCCCATGTTCTAAAGGTTTTCGAATCTGAAACATCATACGGAGCATTCAACATTGAATTCAACATTGAATTCACCATAGTTTACATTTCTGTACTATGTTTCCTCGTTCCAATCTTGCAACGCGGATATTTTTCTGGGAAGGAAGTGGTTTTGGCAGCGGTCTCCCGCTGTGGCTATGTGGGAGCCCAAGGGTGGCGACTCTTTTATGGCGGTGGTTTGGAAGTATCAAAATGCCTCAAACTGCTACATGCACATAACCCATAAAACAACATATAACCCACATAACCACATATAATCCATGTAACTTTTAAGACACTGTCGGTTTTCACCATTTTTCACTCCATTCAGCCGCCACGATGTCACTATCTGAGACTGTGAAGTTTGCTGACCCGGCCCTGAAAGATGACGAGGTCCCGAGTGCAAAGAGTTCGAAACCATCCGGGGAACGGGTAACCATCCTGACAATTCTGAGAATGTGCTAAAGCCAAAGATGAACCGACCATTCATGGTAAGTTTATGATGTTTATTGATGTTGATGCAACCCATTTACGGATTTTACGGCGATTTTGGGGGTTGATTCTTGGGCTTACCACAGCAACCCCGATCTGTTTCCACCAAGAGTTGCGACCATTTTTCTTCTCTGCGACCCAGCATTTTCACCGCGAATTCTCCAACACTCCGTTGTGCTGTCGATGTTTATCAAGTTGAATCGTAGTTGAATCGTAGTTGAATCGTAGTTGAATCAAAAAACGTGGGACAAATCATCAATGTTCATCACATTTTGACTGTTTAGACTGTTTAGACTCTATACCGTCTATACCGTCCATTCTCTCTTGAAGTGGTTGGAGTTGTGTGTATTTTGCCCTTTGCGCCCGGTGCAGGAGGTGATGCTCGCGGCAGTGCAAAGCAGCGCTGCCAGCGCTGCGACACTGCGCTATGCATCTGAACGTATTCGTCGAAGTGCCAACTTGGCAACTTGGCTGCTTTCCCAGTGATCACCAGCTTTCCCAGCTTTCCCAGAGGAAGAATGGGATCTCAAAGATTCAAAGATTGCCTCATGGTGAAAACATCCAATGGTTTCTGTCATTTTTCCCCATCTGATGCTTGGCTTAAAAAACCGTTACACCTCTTCTTTGATGGCCTTGTTGATCATATCCTAAGAAAGTTTGTGTCTGCAGGTGAAAAAGATTGCCAAATTGCCATTGCCACACACTTTTTCACACAATGCTTTGGGATCAGATCACACTGCTGGGAAACACCAATCACTCACCAGTCACTCACCAGTCATTGCTGTAGCATGTTGCGCTTGGCTGGACGGCGAGGTCCTTGCAGCTGTTGAGACCAACCCTGGAGTTCTCTTCTATGCCGATGAAAGCCTTCGGAGCAGTAAGGACCGGAGGATACCGGAGGCCCTCCGAGACCAGAAATACGATGCCATGACTGGTTGGTGGTGACTGGAACATGGTTAATATTGGTTAATCATAAATATATGGTTAATATATGGATTTTAATGACTTTCCATATATTGGGAATAATCATCCCAACTGACAATAACCCGAAAAATAACCCGTAATAATTTTCAGAGGGGTTGAAACTACCAACCAGTAATGATAGAATCCGATAGTTCCATAGGACCTCCAGTACTTTCAACATCTTCCAGTTTGCATTGGCTTCACGGATTTTAGTCCTGCCCAGGACTGAGGGTTCATTAGTGCACTGAAAACGCATTGGAAAATCCTCAACATTCCGGACTGAAATCAGCATTTCATCACTGGTTGATGAATCTTGGATGAATCCCAGTTAAAAAGATATGGACATACCATCCATCTAACCCATATATTCATAACATTTCATAACTACTAAATAACTACTAAATAACGATGAACAGTTGGAAAATCCCTAGATCCCAAGGAATTTGGTACTCAGTTCATCCAGGACTTCACGCTGCGGGCGGTGAAATGCCGAGCAGACGCCTTGAGGCGATGCGGAGTTCCACGCCGTTGAAACAAGGGGAAGTCCTTCGGTTTGGAGTTTGGATGCTTCAATTCGCTTACCCTCTGGTAAACGTTTACATAACTATGGAAAATCCACTATTTCTATGGCCATTTTCAATACCTATGTTAGTTTACCAGAGGGTACAAAAAACAGTAAACATCAAAGATCATCAAAGTTGTGAGCCTTTGGACATTCATTTCAGGTCATAGATTCACCAAAAATTCACCAGAAGGCTCTGACACCTGGCTGGTGCTACCCTGCGAGGTGCGTGGATGAGAAGTTTCAAGCAGATCGAGAAGTCGTGTTGCTGGCAGTGAATCAGTGTGGACATACCTTGGCCTTCGCATCCGAGTCCCTAAAGGCTGGGATCTGTGGTGGATCAGCTGTGTTTCACAAAGCTTGGGAATAGAAAGAAGAACAGTTGGAGGTGCAGTTCCAGTGAAGATATAACTACCATAGAGGGATCACATTCCAAGTGATGGGGGTTATTACATGTTATTACCATGGTCGCCATGGTCACACCCATGATTTTTATCGTCCCAACTGCACCTGAGGAAACATGCCAAGACCTGATGGAAACCGAAAATTTTGGCTTCAGACTTAGATCCAGTCATGCACCGGACGTGACCATGGCGGGAATTGTGGGATGCGCGAGCCGACGTCCGATTCTGTCCCATTTTGGACAGATGCGTAGATTCTCCGCGATGCAACCTGTGAAGTTTGGAAGTGACATTCCTGGATACATCGTGGGTGACAAGGGGAAACCAGCTGTGATTCTGATCCAAGAATGGTGGGGAGTGACCGACGGGATCAAAGAAAAGGCGGTGAAGGTCGCTGAGAAGGGCAACTACCGAGTGTTGGTGCCAGATTTGTAGGAAAAGTGGGCGTCGATGTTGAGGCCAGTCACATGATGGGATCTCTGGATTTCCTCAGGACGCAGTGAAGGAGATCCAAGAGGCTGCCAACTTTTTGAAGTCCGAAGGTCACGACTGGAGATATCATCTGGAGATATCTGGAGATTTCAGATTTTTTGGGCGTTTTTGGTATCTTCAGTAAGCCACATGAGCTATCATTGGTGCATTGGTGTCTTAGAAAGCCCAGCGAATTTTGCTGAGAAACATGTCAAGTCACTGAAGCAAAGTTCGTCACTGAACCGGATCGACTGAATCTTTTTTGGATCGAAGCCAACCACGAAGCCAACCACTCATTCAGGTAGCCAGAAAGTGGGAATCACTGGGTTCTGCATGGGAGGTGCACTTGCCATGGGTGGCCTAGCAGCAAGTGCTGAGATTGCTTGTGGAGCTCCCTTCTATGGTGCTCCTCAGCTTGCAGTTTTGAGAGCAAGTCTTCACGGTTTTGCAAGTCTTCACGCTTGGACCAAAGCCGTCTGATGGGAACCTTAGTCATGGTAAAACAATGCCATGCCATGTTTACCATCCCCCAGCCACCATTTTTTGTTTGGTGCTATGGTGGCACCATTCCCAGGAAAATGGCTGGTTTATGACATTGTTTTAAGCACATTATATCATATTCCCATCATATTCCCATCATATTCCCATTTTTATGGTATGTTTTAACCATTGTTTTAACCATGCAGTTTCCATCATTTCCCGTCATTGGCTGAGGTGAACTTTCAGCTCTTCGATGCCGCGTCGCTGAAGAAACCGGTCCAAGGTCATTTCGCGGAACTGGACGCCATGGCGGGCTTCAGTGATGCCGCAACTGGGAAGAGGTTGGAAACTGATCTGAGGGCTGCTGGAAACAGCGATGTGGAAGTCTTCATCTATCCCAAAGTGGGACATGCGTTTATGAATGACAAGCCCAGTCCATTTCCAAGCTTTGCAGCCAGAATGGAAAAGATGGGAGCTGGCTTTCCTCCATATGATGCAGCTACCGCAGACTTGGCTTGGTCGAGACTTTTCGCCTTTTTCTCCAAGCACCTCTGAGATTCCCTCTGAGATTCCGTAGAGAGTGCAGAGCTCAAAGCAGTTCTTAGCAAACAGATGCAATTCCTTTAGCATTTTTTTCAACTTTTGAAGGAGAAAACAGCCGGTGGCTTGCAGGCAGTCTCTTAGTCATAGTCCAAGTCTTGGGTGTTTTACTGGGCAAATGAACATGAAGACTATGAAGTCTGCGAGTTTGATGGAGCTAACCAGGTAACCAGACGGTCGGACTTGATCAGATGTGGTCCATTGTGATACATTTTGATACATTCTGAAGCTGGATATCTATAGAATTCTATAGATATCTAAGTTATATATATATATAGATGAGATATCTATACAATTTTATATATCTATATACAGATTCTGTGTTTTTCGATGCCGTTTATTGCGCCTTCTTCCGACGATGAGAAAACTCAGCTGGCCAGGATGATCGCGAGGTGGTCCTGGCTGCCACCAGCGTGCGTGGCTCCTCCTTAGTCCACGCCTCGCAACGACTGCGCCAAGAGCGGGCCGTGGTGCTGTCCGCGGTCAGTGGGGGCCCAGGTTGCGGAGGCCATGGGAAAGACATGTGAAGAATATGAGTTGAACCTTGATGTTGATGCTTCAACATGGGATTCCACAGTGGTATAACACTTATTAACATGTACTGGTTTTGGTGGTTTGGAACATTTGGCTTATGACCTTCCCATCATATTGGGAATGTCATTTTATTCCAATTGACGAACTCCATCATTTTTCAGAGGGGTAGGGCTCAACCACCAACCAGATATATGTATATATTATATGTATATATATATATAATATGTTATAATCCCATGATTTTTTCCATACATAACCACTATAATTGGTATTATAACCCATATGTTATAACCCATCATGGCAGGGAATACCACCAAGCAGTGCCGTTAGGTCAAGATGGTTCTGCTTTGGCCTATGGATGTGATGAGTTCAGGAGTTGACGGAGCCACCAACTTGGATTACCCTCTGGTTATTTGTTACATAGCGAACTGGCAAGATCCACCATTTTTAATGGGAAAATCCACTATTTCAATGGCCATTTTCAATAGCTATGTTAAATTACCAGAGAGTATTTGGACAAATCCAGATTTGAGAAATTCCATGAAATTCCATGAACTTGGCTAGCTTTTTGCCGACTTCGCCGACTCCGATCGATTTTTGTGGTACCAATTTCTTTGGACCAATAGGATGATTTGTTGGACCAGTGATAACCAGTGATCTGTCACGATGGGGTCGTCCAGTCGTCCAGTCATCATGTCGCGACAGAAGTTTCGTTTCAGTCCAGTCCTGGTGACGTTTCATCGTGGATTACCCTCTGGTTATTTGTTACATAGCGAACTGGGAAGATCCACCATGCTATTCATGGGAAACCCACTATTTCTATGGCTGGTGATTCAGGAGGGACAAGGAGTTCATCATGCTGGCGGTGGCCCTGAATGGCCTATGCCTCCAATACGCTTCGGTGGAGCTACGAGCGGATCGCCAGGTGGTCTTGCAGGCCATCAGATCCAATCCTTACGCGTTCCTTGGTCAAAATCCTCAAAATCGTTGTCGAAATCCTTGGAAATCCCCGTGGACATCTGTGGTTTATCAATGTTTGGGGATACACATCATGTTAAACATCATGGATCCCTGGATGATCCATGGTATTATCCCTGGTTTATCCATTTTTTTTTTCCATTGAAATTTGGATAATATGACTGATCAAATGATCACGTCAGTGCCCGGGTATTTAGCTGGCGATGCTGTGGACTCCAGGTTTGAACATGCCGATTCACGGCTGAAACGGGATAGCACCTTGGCAGCAATTTTTGATTGGCAGCATGCCCCTTTTGTGTGTTATTTCAAGATGTGGCCACTAGAAGTCAATAAGATTGACTAAGATTGTCATCCCGTATTTTTGGAGTATATTGGAACTCCAATACTTCGCCAATCTGGTAAGATACGATGGTTGCGAAATCCTGCACCAGTTGATGGTTTAAAAAAAACCCTATAAATAGTGGGATGTTTAGCAGCGTTTTCAACTATTAACCATTATTAACCACTATTAACCATTATCAACCATTACTAACCACTATTACCCACTGTTAACCATTACTAACCACTATTAACCACTGGTGATTCGGATTTCCGGACGAGATCTGAGGAGAGATTGTCTTAGCCGCCACCAATCAGCAGCCGGAATGTCTCGCCTTTGCCTTGGATTCGGCTCAGACCTTAGAGCACGACTACCCTCTGGTTATGTCAAACATAGCTATTGAAAATGGTGATTTATAGTGGATTTTCCCATTAAAAATGGTGATAAAATGGCTATAGAAATAGTTGATTTACCTATGAAACATGGTGATTTTCCATAGTTATGTGACAGTTTACCAGAGGGTAGAGCTTTGAAGCAGTGATGATCAGTGATGACTCCAGTGATGACTGGAAACATGTGTTGAACGGATGTTTATATAAACATGTGCGACCATGGATTGGCGGGAAAATCGTCACCGGAAACCATCGATTTTCCCATGACGATCATGACGATCATGGGGGTTTCTGGCAAAATTTCTCCCTTAAACCAATGCATTGAATGTGGCTACTCTCCGGTTATCAAACATGTCAATGGACATTTATATCCATTCATTTCCATGATTTTCTCAGCCACCTCCATGATTTTCGGACGTCTGTCCAGGTGAAGCAAGACGACATCTTCATGATCTCTGCAGTTGCAAGGCTGTGGGAATATTGAAAATCATTGAAAACCATTGAAAGTGATTGCAAGTGTTCAATATTCCGAATTTGATTGTTACTTACTATTGCTATCATTGTTATTGTTACTATAAATGATTATCATTGTCATTATTATTACTATTATTATCCATTAAGGATTGTTATTATTACTATTAATGATTGACATCCAAACTTCCCGTTCTGGCAGATTCCAGCCGTGCCAGCCCAGCTGACAGATGGGTTCACCTGTCCAGGCAGCCCCTCACGCTGCAATTTGCCACAGAAAAACTGCGGTCGAACAAAGATGTCGTGCTGGGGGCCATCAAAAGCCCCTTGGTGAAGTAAGGACCTTTTTATATGGCTATGGGTCAATACCTATTAATACCATTTTTAGGGGGATGAACATCCATTTACCAGCTATTTTGATGTTCACCAGGGGTACAAGGGTTTTGACACACTGCCATATATTGAGATTGGAGTGTAGCACTCGTTTCTATTTTGTTTCTCTGGTGATGGTATCTTTTTGTTCCAAGCAACTCTAGTCTTTGTGGTTACTTTGGTCTTAGCTTATTTCTCACTGCTCCATTTGCTTCCGTCTGCAGTTGGTCGGCAGTTCTGCATTCGATGATATGGCCACTGAGGCTTGCCAGAAGCATTCCAGTTTGCTCGCCACAACTTAAGGCACCCATTGGATTTGACATCTAACTAGCGGCAGTTTCATCGGCCACGGCCATTTCTCCGAGGCAAGATGTTGATTTCGTGCGACGAGCTCTCCTGATCAACGTGGTGCGCAGCAATTGCCTTGAGAAAACAAAAAGTTGAATTTGTGTCAGAGCCAGAAACTCGCCAGTCTCTGCCAGTCATGTTTTCACTGAGTTTTCTCTGCAGGAAGTCTTCAAATACTTGGATGACCACATGAAGATGGATCGCAGCTTGGCTTGAGCCTCAGCTTCAGATAGGCCTCAGATAGCCAAAGGCAAATCTCGGCTCGTCATTTTGGCAGGCCATGGTAGCACTTCGCGTCCATGGCAGTGCGGTGCAATACCTGCAGCAGCCGATGTCCGAGGCCCGAAATGGGTTCAACGGCATGGCATGGCCATCCTCACCTTTCATTTAAACATCGATTCATTTCTAGTGGAATGGAATGTTATGGCTCTGGTAAAGCCAATACTAAACATACTAAACCACCCTTTGGATGGTTTATACATGTTTATACCATCCATTTCCGGGAAAATCGGGGTAGTTTGACTCTCTCTCTCTCTCTTGCCTTGGCTGTGCGATCAATGAAGGACCCAGAGCTTCTGCTTCTGGCGATCCGCAGCTATGCCAAGGTCAGATGGGTTTGGAAAGACGAGGAAACTCTCAGTATTTGCACAGAAAGTGCCATGAGGCGTTGGATAAGTAAAACGTCTTTGCATCTGTACGACAGCTGGCATATCTGGCATGGATGCCATGGCTGCCAGGCTTTCCGTTTTGCTCCAAAGGACATGCAAGCGGACAAGGCGTGCATCAGCACCAAACGCAGATTTTTTCGCATGAAATCAGGTGTTGAGACTATTTCAGACTCACTTAGTCGCTTAGTCAGTAGGTTAGTTGCATGAAACATGTCATGAATTCGCCTTCTCCGATGCACAGCACTAGCCGTGATGGCCTTTTATTTCCAGTCAGGAGTTCGTGATGGCCGCGGTCCTAAAGAACCCAGAGGTGTTGCAATGCATCGAACTCCAAGATGTTGACTTCGTGGAGACGTTGCTGTTCCCAACTCAGAGCGGTTTATTTTGGACCTGCGGTGATTCGTGTGCGGTGATTCGTGACAGATCATATTGATGTTAAGATAGATTAATGACAATTTAATGATATTAATATGATTCATCTCATCCCGACTTATCCCCTATGATTCCTATGATTCATGATAATGTTACTAATATATGATTAATATGAATGATCATTAGATTCTTAGATAGAATATAAATTACTATGATCAATCCCATCCAATCCCATCCCCCGATGTTAAAAGTCTTTAAACACCCCTATCTCAAGTGGTCACACATATGTGTAGATCAGGTGGAAGGGATTAACACGTTTTCCCTCAGTTTGACTTGAGAAGGATGGTGTAGGGATGTGTAGGATCTGTGGTCTGCACATGCCCTGCATGCCCTGAGGGCAGCGTGTCCAGCAGCACTGGAGCACTTGCCATATGAATTTCAGGCAGCTCATCAACTCATCAAGCGCTTGATGTGAGAATTCTTGGGACTTAGAGTTACCCTCTGGTAAACTAACATAGCTATGGAAAATCACCATTTTTAATGTGAAAACTCACTATTTCTATGGGGTACTTAGTATATCTTAGTATACCTCTGGATCAAAAGTGGGGAAAGCTGGAGAATTTCCCCCTGTTTTTTTTTTTTTCAAAGTAAGTTTAGGTATGACCCATCTTGACATATCTTGACCCATCTCCTTGCGATACAAATGGATGCCGGGAGGCCAATCCCACCATGGTCCTTACGGCCTTGCAGAGTGAATCGCAGGTATGTCGAAATGTCGGTTGTGGTCGAGTGGACCAAAATCACAGGTATCTTGGGGTAATCTTGGGGTGAAACTGAGAAGATTTGCCATTATCGGTACAACATGGAATATTCAAGGAATTCACGGGCTTTCTAGGAAAGACCATCTTTGGCAAATGAGAGGGAGTCAAAAAATTGGCAAGTACTCCAAGAAAATTTGGCTCCATATTAAAACATCATCATAAAACATCAGTGAATTTTTATGGATTCCGTGACCGACCCAACCAATTCCTCCCGTCCAGGCCTGCGAGTTGGCTGAGGATGACATCATGCCCGAACAGCCGAGACCGTCATCGAATTCTCGAGGTGCTGATCGTTGATCGTAGCTGTGGAGCGAGTTATCTCTGGTTGGGCAAAAAAGTCTTTTTTTTTTTTATCCAGAAGATTGGGGATTATCATAGTACATGAAATTTGGATAAATTTGGGAATTCTTGGTGATTACCTTTTTCATCATCCACGATTTTTTTGAATTGCCGATGATCATCATTTTATTGTCACAATCCCATGATGTTGGGGAATTTCATCACAAGTCGATTCAAATGGATTGGGGATTACCATCCAATAAACTGGGATTTTCCACCAAGGGAAGATTCTCCAATCATTGGTGTTTTCCTGGCCAAAGTTTCCAGTTTCCGATTCATACGGGGCTTCATGTATCAGTGGTCAAAGCCCTTTGGACGTCTCAGGGATCGCGGGTCGTTCTTCGCCCTTGGCTTTTGCTGCTCATGCGTTGCGTCGCAAGCCCAGTGACGTTTGGAGTCGAGCCAGCATTCGCGGCACCCCGTATATGGATGGTATATGGATGGTTATGACGCTTTAAACCGCCTCGAAATCACGAAATGACAATGTCTCCATTACCCCAAGTTCGAGTCGTAGCGATTTCATAACCTCTGCCCTGGCGACCTGGTACTACTGTACTGTAGCTGTGTGGAACTTTGTGGATCAGGATCTGATCCTCACTTCCTTCTTGCTGCAGTCGCATTGGACAGCAGCGCATTGGCTTACGCAGTCGAGGACGGGAGTTCTTGCCTTGCTGCTGATGCTGCTGCTGGTGGTGATGATTCGATGATGATTCGAAGCTTGCAATCCCCATATATTAACCATATTGATAACCATATTATTAACCATATGACCATATATTAATAATATGGTTGATGCTACGGTTGATCTGAAACGGAGGACCTTCCCAGGTTGACATACGCCATACGCCCCGCTGTTTTTTTTGTTTCCAGGCGCTGCAAAAAAACGAGGACTTCGTGCTTGCTGCAGCGAGGGCCCCATGGGATAGCTGGAACATGCTGGAAGCCAATCACCAAATATCAAGGCAAGCCATGAAGAAAAGCTGTGAAAATGAGTGCGATAGGCGATTTTTAAATGACATGATTTGTCTCAAACATACCAAGTTAATTGGATAGATCATGATGGATCATGATAGCTCCAGGTCGCTTTCACGGGCAAAATCATTGGAAGACTTTGGATGAATGGACCAAGCAACCTATGGTTGACCAAATATCACTGCACACACACACAAAATCAGTAAATACATTTTTTTCCAGAATCCACATAAGTCACATAAGTATTATTCTTCAATTTTGCTCCCATCTTCCCAAAAAAGTGATATATGGGAAGATTGACATATAGTTGAATATGGGAAGATGGGACTATCCCCAGTCATATCATATAACTATGGAAAATCATCATTTTTTAATGGATAAATCAACTATAAATGGCCATTTTCAATAGCTACGTTAAATTACCAGAGGGTATAAGTCACTATATCCAGTATCATATATAAGTCATTACCCTCTGGTAAACTAACATAGCTATTGGAAATTACCATAGAAATAGTGGATTTTGCTATAAAATGGTGGATCTTTCCATAGTTACGTCACAGTTTACCAGAGGGTACCATGATTGATTGTCAACCACCAATCATATCCAAATCATTTGAGAATCCCCTCTGTATATTCCAAGTATATCCCAGTAACTGAAATATTCATAATATTCCAAGGTCATGATAACCATCTATTCCTGGTTGGTGGTATACCATGGTATGGTACAAGTCACTATATGGGATAATCCTTCTCATTGACGAACTCATATTTTTCAAGATGAAGTCATTGCTATTTTTCAAATTGCCATTGAAATAGTGAAAATTGCCATATCATAGTCACAAGTCACTTAATATGGAGTTTTCCTGTAAATTTTCCCTTAAACCAATCCATTGAATATATGGGTTGACTTCCCCCTTTGGTCATCCCCAAGTATATCCCAGAAACTGAAATATTCCCATTTTTAATGTATATGGGTCGACTTCCCCCAAAAATCATCCCCCAACAAATTCCTCCCCCCGAGGTCCGCGTGAACGGCCTGGCGCTCTCGGGCGCCTCGCCGCAGCTGCGCTGCCGCCAGGACTTCGTGCACCAGGCCGTGCGCTGCGATGGCCGCGCCCTGGTGGCGCTGCCGGAGCCGCTGCGGTCGCAGAAGGCGCCAGAAAAGCTGGGGAAAACAGGGGAAAAACAGGGAAAAATGGAGAAAAAATGGAGAACAAATGGAGAAAAAATGGAGAAAATCAAAGGAAAAATGGGGAAAACAGGGAACAAATGGAGAAAATACGGGGAAAAATGGGGAAAACAGGGAAAAAATGGAGAAAATACGGGGAAAAATGGGGAAAACAGGGAAACCATGGAGAAAATCCAAGGGAAACATGGGGAGACATCTGAAGAAAAATTGTGGAAACATATGGGGGATTTTGGAGACATACTTGGACATATTTCAACCAGAAAATCACCGAGTGGAAAATGTAGGGTTTAAACTTTCTAAACTAAACCAAATTGGAAGTCTCGTAATATTGAGTAAAATGAGCATGTATGAACAAACATTGCAAACGATGATTTGGAAGGTCCTGCGTTGCTATTTCGTCTTTGATTCATTCAATTTCCTTGCATGTCAGAACATCAATGGCACGTTTGAAGAACTTAAAATGGATGTATTGTCCCATTTTTGTTTGCCATCTATTTCGGTGAAATTCCTTAGACGACTCACCTCAATTATATATGGCAAGCACCTCCAATTTATGGGTCAGAATGTGAGGGTCACCCGTTTTTTGAAGGTCATGTTTATATTATCCCAGCCTTAGGTACTTTAAGACAACAAGGTGGTGCTAGAAGTCCTTTTTGCAACTATCCTAGCTTGTGATAGATGCAACGAACGAATTTTCACGGTGTCAGCCATTCAACCAGTTGGATGGGCCATCGGATGCCCTGATCCATGGAGTTACCTGGATCACTTCCGCAACGGGTCGCGATGCTGATGGGTCATTGGGCTGGGCTAAGGGCTGGGCTAAGGTTGCAACTTTGGAGGCCGAGTTGAAGTTGAAGGCTGCATGATTGTCCTCTTGGATGGGCCATGAGTCCGTTTGACTATCTGACAGATCTTCACAAGCCCCGCACTCTTCGCAAGTGATCAACCTGCTGTGTAGCTGACGTGAAGAATTTCCGCATGCGTCGCATGCGTCGCATGCATCGCATCCCTTGCGTCGCGTGGAATCTCCATGGCCATCATGGCCATCGCCGCCGAGACCGATGGCCGCCGCATCTGCCACGCCTCAAGGTGAGGGCCGCAAGGCGGCCGTCAACTCGCAGATTTGCAATGTGAACTGGGCCCAACTGGGCCTGCGGCAGCGCTTATGGATAAATCGGATAAATGCTGGTTTGAAATATTGTGAAAATGCTGAAGGTGTCAAGCAACGTATTCGATCTTTGTGAACTTTTGTTGCCACTTGGAGGATAATCCTGGCTATGAATTTTCGACCCGGAAACCAGCGATCCAGAGGTTCCCCATGGTTGCAGAATTTTCAGATTCGGGTGGGCCTTTCAGGCAGAACCTTCGAGTGAAGTTGAAGTGAGACCACCAGGTGGTACCATATAGCCATATAGCCTTTGATCGTGTATGATTCTGGGATCAGGCAGAAAATCATCTCAGCGTTTATGGATGGCTGCATGCCCGGTGTTGAATCATATTGAGGCAAACATATCAATAGCCTATACTCATAGAACGAACTTATGGGTATGTACTGCATCTATGTATACGTATGTATATGTATATGTATATGTATATATATATATGTCAATTTTATGTTATGTATACAGATCTGACATTTCTTGGGCCGTGTCTGACCTGCCGCTCAATGAAACAGCCTTTCAGAAAGATCTTTCCATCCTCACACCCAAATTGGCAACGGCATCACCGTCAGGACATTGTCATGGCTGCTATGTGCAATCGTGGTGATGCCCTGATGTATGCCACGGAATTCTCCCAGGCATCGAAACCATGGCTTGAAAAAAATGCAAAACGACGACTATCTGAATCAAATGGTTCCTTCATTTTATCATATTTCATGATATTTCATGATATTTCATGATATTTCATGATATTTCCATGATATTTCCATGATATTTCCATGATATTTCATGATATTTCATGATATTTCCATGATATTTCCATGATATTTCCATGATATTTCATGATATTTCATGATATTTCCATGATTCTTTGGTGAAATATGCATAGATATGGTGAAATCCTGACCCATTTGTGCCATTCCGCCATGCCATTCCCAGCGCCAAAGCAGGGCGACAAGGAGGTGGTCATCGCCGCGGTGCTACGCTGGGCTCCAGCGTTGCGCTTTGCCTCGCTGCGGCTGCGAGCAGATGATGAGGTCGGTGATGACCAGGGATCCGAAGTGGGGAAGTAAGCGTTTAACCATAGTTGGATAGTTGGTTTAGGTATAGTTGGATCATAGTTGGGTCCCAATTTCCTGATTTTGAATTGTAATACATGTATATATATATAATTTCCATATATATATATATTACAAGATCTGTAAGCGTATTAATATGATTTAATATGTATGTATCATTTGTGAATCATTCCACAAATGATTTTTTTAGCGATTTTCGGTCTTGATTTTCGAATTTGTGAATCTCCATGGAAATCCATGACACCCCTAATCGAGGTCTTCATGGGAAAATCGTCCACATTTGTGGGGGATTTTTTTGCAGCCAGCCGAATGGAGCCGATCCAAACATCCAAAGTGAATCATGGCACCTTTAGCAATGGCAGGAACTTCAGATTGGTGTATTCATAGTGTATGAAAAAGGAGAATCCACTGATATATTCGATGGTCTTTCATTGATGATTGAATAGAAATTGTCATATTTGATGCTGGTTGGTGGTTTGGAACATTTTTATTTTTTCCGTATACTGGGAATAGTGATCCCAGTTGACTTTCATATTTTTCAGAGGGGTAGGTCAACCACCAACCAGATATAGTGACACCCATAACCAGATGGATGTGTATTTGATGATCAAATTGATACACATCAAATATTCAATTTGGTAATCCAGTGATATTACCCTCTGGTAATTTAACAGTTCGCTATTGAACAATGGTGATTTATAGTGGATCTACCCATTGAACATGGCCATTGAAAACAATAGTTTTTTGTATGTTTATAGCTATGTAGACGTTTACCAGAGGCTATTTCAATGGATTGGTTTAAGGGCAAATTGAAACCGGAAACCTATGGGTTTTTACCATTATTCATATGGGGTTTTCCTGTAAATTTTCACCTAAACCAATCCATGGACTATTGTCATATTTGAAATCCCATTAAATCACCCTTAAATCACCATTAAATCACCATTTTCATGTGTCTTTGATCGCTGTGAGGTGGTCCTGGCCGCCGTGAAATCCTGGGGCATCGCCTTGCAGTTTGCTGCACCGGAGGCGCCGCAGCACGAGAAATGTCGTGCACGTCGTCCAAAAAATCGCCAGTTCGAAAACCTTGAAATGTCGAAGTTGATTGAAGTTGAGCCACTATGGTGATAGCCTCTGGGGATTTCCGGGATTTCACCATGATTTTTTGATGATTTACCCATGAAAAATGGTGATTTTCCCATGAAAAATGGTGATTGGTAAACATAGAAAAAGCTATTGAAAATGGCCCAGTCGAAATAGTGGATTTAGCCATGAATAGCATGGTGGATCTTTCCAGTTCGTTATGTGACAGTTTGCCAGAGGGTACCATGATTGATTTTTCATTACAATGATAACCCATAATTAATGGGATACCTATCAACATCTATGAACCAACTAGTATTCATGAGATATGCAGATATGGATGGGATAACCCGGAATAGGGATATGATAACCATTGACAACCCACTTGATGTATAAGTTGATGTCCTGAACGGTTCATGGCTGATCTTGAGGTCAGGGCTCAACGCAATGTGGTCCTGGAGGTGCGCTGTGACAGGCATCATTTTATGGCAACCTGGATGAAGGTGTAAAACATGATTTTTGCAACATGATGTTTTTTTTTTTAATAATAATGAGGTGTAAAAATCCATGAATTTTGCTTCTACCCTCTGGTTATTTGTTGCATAGCCATGGAAAATCACCATTTTAAATAGGTAAACCATCTATTTCTATGGGTCATCTATACCATGGCTATGTTAGTCATAACCAGAGGGTAATATCAGTGGATTACCAAATTGAATATTTGATGTGTATCGATTTAATCATCAAATACACATCCATCAATGAATTTTGGTTCTACTTTTGGTTTCACATGTTGAAACGAAAGATGAAAACCTCACGGCCAGTCGTCGCCAGGCGGTCCGCAGCGACGGCCTCGCGTTGGTGCACGCCTCCGAGGAGCTGCGCGATGACGAGGAGTCGGCCTAAGCCGGAAGAGATAGCCTCTGGTAAATTTAACATAGCCATAGAAAATGGTCCATTTATAGATGGTTTACCTATTAAAAATGGTCCATTTAATGGGATTTAATGAGATTTAATGGGATTTACCTGGTAAACTAACAGTTCGCTATCGAAACTGGTGATTTATAGTGGATATACTCCCATTAATAGCATGGTGATGTTCCATAGTTTTTTGTTAACGTTTACCAGAGGGTACCCATAACGAATCCGAAAAAATCCATTGGTTGATCTACGTTCATTCACTGGTTGATGAACGAAAATCTAGTGGTGAAGCATCATTTTCCCAAACATGTTGCCAGGCATGGGAACATCTAGCCATTTGCGGGTCAGTTCCCCATTATCAGACCTAGTTCGACGCAGTGACATTGTGGGTAACTAATTAACTAGTGAACATTCCACCAACAACTATGGGTGTGCTGCAAGTTGCCCACAACCTATCTACCGAAATAAAGACCCATGAGCTATAGGATACATCAAGAACCATGTGGTCCAGACATTACAGGCCAGTTCCCAATGATGTAACCATATTTGAGCACCACTTCAAGGATTTCTTTAATGTGTATCCTCCATCATGAAAGTGGGATAATCCTGCATCATGGCTGCACAACTCCATGTTTCACGTCATAATCCCACATCAATCCACGTTATAATCCCACATCACCAGCTTAAGCAACATAGAAATCCTACATTAAGTGGATATTCACAATCATTGACGGTTGAATCAATTCGATGTTTAGTGATTATCATGAAGTATCATTATAGCAAACCCCCGAAAAAGATGCTGAACAGGGCATTTTCTATCTATCTTGAGAATCTTGAGGTTGCTGTAACCATGGGATATCATGGAAAATGTGTCAGCAGGTGTTGGATTATTGATAGTTACCCTCTGGTAAACTAACATAGCTATGATGGAAAATCACCATTTTTAATGGGATAATTCCACTATAAATGGTGATTTTCCATAGCTATGTTAAATTACCAGAGGGTAACCATGTTGGATTAACCTATGTCAGTTGCCATTAACTGTTGGATAATCCAAAAAATCAATCCGCATCAAAATCCCACTGGCTTATGCTGGATATTCACTACGATTGTAACATTAGCTTAATCCTGAAATTCCAAGAAGTGAATATTATGTATTTCATACATACATATTATACATATATATATATATATACATAACATATACAAAAACTAGATGATATATATCTGATTCACCATGGTGATTATGTATAGATGGTGCCATCTGATTATATATATATATATCTGATGATTGTGATGGCACAAAAATGGTGAATCGGACCATGGTGCCATCACCCAGGAGATCGTCCTGACGGCGGTGCGCCTCTGGGGCTCGGCGCTGCAAAGCGCCTCGCCGCGTCTGCGCGCTGCGCGCCAGGTGGTCCTGGCCGCGGTGGAGCGCTGCGGCGTGGCGCTGCGCTATGCCGTGGCTGGGGCGGAGAAAACGGGGGATTTCACCATGAAACATGGGGGATTGAACCATGATTTATATAATGGAATTTAATGGGATTAAACCATGATTTAATGGGATTTAATGGGATTGAACCATGGTTTAATGGGATTGAACCATGGTTTAATGGGATTGAACCATGGTTTAATGGGATTGAACCATGGTTTAATGGGATTGAACCATGGTTTAATCGGTTTTAATGGGATTTACCCTCTGGTAAACATAGAAAAAACTATTGAACATGGCCATAGAAATAGTGGATTTAACCATGAATAGCATGGTGGATCTTTCCATAGTTATGTGACAGTTTACCAGAGGGTAACATGATTTAAGATGATTTAATGGGATGTACATGGGATGTCAAGATTTACATGGTGATAACAATGGGAAGAATGGGAGGGGGATCAAAAACTGATCTTGGGTGTAAAAGTTGGGATGATTTGGTCGAGATTTGGTGATTTTATCATTCAATTTATGGAATTTGGAGCAAACCAAATGAGAAGCAGTGGATGTAGCTGACATAACCCAGCAAGGCTTTTGGTGCAACATGCAAAATGGCATAAAAACGGCACATAACGTATAAGTGCGAGAAATCATCAATTGTATCAGAAAGATGGACTGTCTCATTTACCCTCTGGTGAACTAACATAGCAATGGAAAATCACCATTCTTAATGGGAAAATCCACTATTTCTATAGCCATTTTCCATTGCTATGTTAGTTCACCAGAGGGTACTCAGTATGGTAGTCATGCTTGTTGCAAGCCAAGTTGGTCATACGGAGGTGGCACTCCTTGGGGTCGTGGGGCTTAGAGTCTGCAGAATGGTGGACTCTGCAGAATCCCAGAAGCCTTCCATGACACCTAGATATTGTGGATGGTCAAACATGGAGTGGGATATTTTCTGGTGAAAAAATCGGGGATAACCCTCTGGTAATTTAACATAACTATGGAAAGATCCACCATTTTTCAGGGGAAAATTCACTATAAATGGCCATTTTCAATAGCTATGTTAAATTACCAGAGGGTACACCAGGGGATATTGTGGATGATCCCTTTGACCATCTTTGATCACCTTTGACCCACACATTTTCTGGTCCTTTTTGGGATCTGATACCATCCATGTTAGTCAAAAGCTCAGGATGAGAGGCTTCAAGCAGACAAGGAGGTGGCTATGACAGCCGTGGCCAGTGATGGATTGGCACTGCCTCATTGCCATCAGTCTTTGCGAGCAGATCGGGATGTGGTCCTCTGTGCTGTTTCAAGTGCCTTGGCGATTCAGCTTTTCGACTCTGCGATCAGTTGCTGTTTTGGGTCCCAAAACAGGGGTAGACGCCCCCAAAAATGTGGTTTTTACGCAGATAAAATAGGATAAACCATGGATAAACCATGGCATTTTGAGGGGTTTACCTGACATTTCGGACAAACCCATGTTGTCACAGTCGCAGCGGTCGCCCAAGGCCATGGCTCGGCACTGTCTTATGCTGATGTGAAGCTCAAGGCTGACAAGGCAGGGAACTGCCATGAACTGCCTGTCTTTCAGCGAAATGGGGCACAGTATGCAACAGATTGCATGGTTACCCTCTGGTAATCTAACATAGCTATGGAAAATCACCATTTATAGTGAGTTTTCCTATGAAAAATGGTGATTTTCCATAGTTATGTTAGTTTACCAGAGGGTAGGATCATTTTTGATTGCGCAATCTACGGAAGAACATAGCTCCAGCTAAGGAGCTGTGAGCCATAAACTTGCCCAAATTCATGGTCCCTGGATCGATGGCAAATAGCAGACCACCCTCTTTTCCTATCATTATAATTCATAAGATTTGGCTGAAAGTTTCAATTGACATTCATATGATCCTATTTCTTCATATTTCTTCCTGAAATAGGATGATTGCCATTGAATGTCATTGATATTTTCAATTTTCAATTGCCATGAAAAATCAGCGGCTGCTGTTTTTGTGAGGAGCTGGCAATGGCGGCGGTCTGTGCGCGTGGCGAGGCGCTGCGACATGTGGCGCCATCGCTGCTGCGGGATCGTGCGTTGATTCTGGCCGCCGCGAGGCTGGGGTCGAAGTCAGCTCTCACTCGGATGATTCTCGGGGGGGTTCCTCAAAGGATACCCCAAGCTCCCTGGATGGTGTTGATCCGAAAATCACATGGATGATTTGAAGGTAGCAACATTTTAGGATATTTTAGGAGCCCTCAATTTTGAAGGAACCCCTCCATTTTTCGCGACTTCCTAACCATGGTCCTGTACCACGGCCATGTGGGATGACTCTCCAAGTCGCCACGGCCAAGAATTGTGACAAAGACGGAGGATTCACCAACAAAAGCCCCATTTTTTTCCATCACTGGTGATCCAAAACCTTGGAACGACGATTTTCTCGTCTTTTGGGAGAAATCCTCTCAGAATCTTTGTCATTTTGCGTCATCACATTTTCCCATTTCTTGATAAATCCACAATTTATTTATGAAGAAAAAAACCACTCCAAAAAATCATTTCCCATTGTGATTCCCTCAGCTTAAGATCTGTTAAACATCCCCCGTCCATGGGAGCATGGTGACCATGACCTGACGCAGGACCTGGAGCGGAGCTCTCTCCCTTGCTGCGCCGGAGCTTCGCTCTGATCAGGACTGCAAGCCCTGAAATCGAAGATTATAGCCTGGGCCAAGGCACCTAATATGGATAGATATGGATACAATATATATATATATATACACATATGTGTTCTCATCTGTTCCCGCACATTGCCAACGACCGTACTCAAAACGATGATCCTTCTCAATGACTTCCTTGAAGAAGTTTGATCCCGGTCATGAAATCATGAAACAGCGAAGGGTTCAATCCAATCAAGATACCTCACCCCCCAAAACCCCTACGGATGGTTCTCAAACTCAGAACATGTTGGCCATAGTGTTTTTACAGCCCATCGTTCAAGGTTTATCCAGAGCCCATCGTTACGTTCTGAGTGGATTTTCTCCAAGGTTTAGCGCTGAGATTGGTTGCTTGCCCTCTGTCAGCACTGAAAAAAGAGATGAAGTTGAAGCCGTTTGTTGCTGCCATTCTGATAAGGAATATACATATTATACATATTATACATATTATACATATGATATATATATATATGATATATTATCATATAGTATATCTGGCAGAAGTCTCCGTCAGTTGCCAGGACTTTGTTTGCCATGCAATGCAGAGCTACTTCTCCCAGACTCCTGATGTCGCACCGACAGATGAAGGCGGCGTAGCCCGCCGCGTCGCCATGCGTAGCCATTCTCGGTGCTTACGCAAGAAGTTGTCTTTGACGTTGCACTGCCCCAAGAAGTTGTTCATCAGTTTGATATATATATTTTGATAATCTTTGATATACTTTGATTATGATGGATTATGTTGATTATGTTTAATTGTGGTGCACTGGTCGTGACTTGTCAGGTTGGAACGGCATGAGCCTTTGAGATTCGGAGCTTCCTTGTACACAAGGCCATGGCAGCCATGGCCATGGAGTCACCAGGCTACTGCTGACTGCCTTGGCTTGCCCCTGCCGCATGGGCTGGTTGATTGATGTTTTTTTTTTTCCAGGACTCCCAGGAGGAACAGCCAAAGCATTTCGATCCATGCAATGTGTGTTGATGTGCTTCCACACATTGCATTCGTGACATATTTCTACAACCAAGATTGTAGCACATTGGATTACACATATTACACGACAGGACCTTTGTCTTGTCTTCTTCCCGATGATTAGCAGTGCTACGGGGCCCACGGGGTTTCCAACCGCACAAGCATGGCATAGCACTACACAGATACGGATCTCAAGATGATGACTCCCCATTTCAGGATGGCTAAATACATCCAAAATCATCACACATGACTAGCCATTTGTGGCTACAAAACGGTACCTCATTTCGCCCCGGACACGTTGTCAATCAACACAGCTCCGTCTCACCTCTTCGTTCAAAGTAATGAGGAGATTGCTCCATCTCGAAACTCAGGTCGTTTGTGCGAGTCATCACCTGTCGCATGTATCGGCATGTCATCCGCCCCGGTGATCAAGAGAATACTGTTCGCTTCACGAACCCACAAGATTATGAGATGAAAGATGTGATGAATCTGCAATTTCTTGGCATGTGACTTATTGGCTCCCAGCTTAAACTGTTCTTATCGAAACCAATTCTACATGGGAAGGCAAGCCGCTTCAGGACGCATTTTGATCAACCAGGATCCGGATTTTTGACAGATGGACGAAGCTGCCAACAAAATGCAGGCCTTCGGTTTGATGATCAGTTGGAGTGGAAGAACTCCACTTTTTTCCACATTCAAAACACCAGGTTAGTGGGGATCCACCACATTACGGATGATTCGGATGACATTTTTGAAGTCACCACTTCTGGTCGCACATCACCATGGCGCCCACTGACTCGGTTGACGCTGAACGCAGCTTAGTGCGGGGGCAAGTTGTTGCAGGAATTCAAACTGATTCAGATTAGCCGAGGATGTCACCAACAGCCTTTTCGAGGAGAGTTTGCTGAGCTGGCTTCTCTGTTCATGTGGCAGTGTGTCAAAACCTTGTACCCCTGGTGAACATCAAAATAGCTGGTAAATGGATGTTCATCCCCCTAAAAATGGTATGTATAGGTATTGATCCATAGCCATGTTGCATCACGGCAACACATTTTACATGAACGATGCGTTGCCGACGATGCATGAAATCCTTGCCTACTGTGCAGATCTGTGCAGGATGCTCGAACATTGTCCCAGATGAAACGCAGCCGCATAGACCTCAATCGAAGGCTCCAATTCTGCCACTTGCCAATCTCCATTCGGATTCTTCATGATCATGATTTCTTCATGATTTCTTCCATACATTCATACATGATACCCTCTGGTAATTTAACATAGCTATTGAAAATGGCCATTTATATTGAGTTTTCCCATTAAAAATGGTGATTTTCCATAGTTATGTTAGTTTACCAGAGGGTATTAATTAATGATATTCATGTTATTCATGGAAAATTGCCAGTCAGAAACGGGGGCAGAGGGTTCCCTAATATGCAGAGGGTTCCCAATCGTTTCATGCGAGTTGGGCCAGGTATGTGTTTCTTTGCCCTACTGCCCTTAGCAAGCAGTTCGAGGTGCCAAGGGGTTTGGGAGAGGTGTTCTTTCTTGCTCATATTTATACATATTAAATATATACAGAATGTATATAATATATTATAATATAATATATACATATATGTATATATTATATAGACAAAAGCACATACAACACCATATAGGTACTGTCGACCCAAAATTCGTAAACCCCTGGTTTCTTCACAGAGAGTAGCAAATTATAGTTGGAATTGTAATTGATAAGCACTATGTTGCGCAAAAAGATGGGCATTGATCAATCCCGGCTGGACACACTACACGGCTTCCGGCAGGCCTTGCCCCTGCCGGCCAAAGAAGCGGCTCTCCTGGTATTCCGATGCAACCAGAATTTCGTGGCTTGGCAATGAAGTCCAAACATTTTGGTTGATACCCTCTGGTAAACTAACATAGCTATTGAAAATCACTATCTTTAATAGGTAAATCAACTATAAATGGGCCATCTATAGCATGGCTATGTTAGTTTACCAGAGGCTAAATGTACCAACACTCCAACATCTGGGAATCCAATGCACCAATGAATATATCCAACATCTTGGAATTGGGGAAAACTCACCAGAGAAACATGCTGGAAACCCTTCATTTGGTAACCATGGTATCCTTTTTTTTTTTTGAAACGATCCACTGACAGCCTTTTGGACGTCCAAAAGGGGACGAATCGATGTTTTATCGGCAGGTCTTCAAAGATCCACCCGCAGTGCGAAAATCGCGACTGCAATCGAGGGTGGAGTGTGGAAATTCCACAGCCTGCTCCTCTGAAAGATCCGAAAACACGTTTCGAAACAACCATTTCTCTCCGTTTTATTTCAACGAAGTCAAGTCTTGCTTTGCTACTTTTGCATTTTTTTCGTGTCATTCTCTGCAGCTTGAACGGAGAGATCCTGTCAGTCTCGGGCGCAATTTTCGAAGGTCAATATCTTCTCTGGTGAAATGGTATGAAATAGTCGTATGCTGCCAGCGTTTAACCCACCAGTCATTCTACAGCCGGCAGCGGGTCCCAGGTGAAGCACTTTGCCCCGGTGAAACCGGGTTTGCGAGCGTTGGGATGCACAGAGATGAGTGAACTGGCCGACTCCAATGACTCCGACGCACCGTGCACGTCCGTGCACGTCCGTGCACGTCCGTGCACGTCTGTGCACCGTGAGGCTCTACAAGTCGGAGTTTTCCGATGAATTCCTTCAGTGGGTGAGAAACTCAGAAGACTCAGAAGACTCTGAGAACTCTGAGGCGTCTGTGTCTGGCTCTTATGAACCAGGTACTTAGCAAAGAGAAGGAAGGCTGCGTGTTTTGGTTCAAGCCAGAAAGGGCCTGGGTCCTAGAATGTGCTTCGTTTCGCTCTTCAATCATTGCAGTTCTTCATTTCAACCTTTGCTCCATGCTGGAAACATGCTGGAAACATGCTGGAAACATGCTGGAAACATGCTGGAAACATGCTGGAAACATGCTGGAAACCTTGTTTCAATAACTTAAACCAGAGTTTATGTGATGATTATGTCGTGATGATGTCGTGATGGCTTCAGGACTTGAAGAAGTTGTCAGCTTTCTTTGAAGAAAAGATTGATCCAATGGACGAGTTGCCCTACAGGACCGGGACCAGCGGGACCAGCGGGACCAGCGGGACCAGGGCAACATTCTTAGAGACATGTTTGGTTTGACCATAAAACACGGACTGAGACCATTTTTGCTTATATTCATTTATATTCAACATGGATATCATTTTGATGAGACAAGCAATAAAACATATTAAAACATCATATAGCCAGTGTTTGATCTGCTCGTCCAGGCCTTTGTTGTTAGATGCCATGTGGTGGCGTGTTCGCTTCGACCGTACCAGCTCAAGGCAGGACGACAGGAAACCATCCGTACCATCCGTAGCGCCCAACAACGGACCATTTCGCTGGCGAAATCGGCTGAAAGGCAACTTTTTTAGGGGAAGTAGTCCTCCAAAATCCCAAAAAACATGGTGAGAAATCTAAAAACATCTAAAAACTGTTGTAACTTGGTAACCAGGGATTTTCCCCCATGGAAAAGCCATGTTTTTTTCGGTATCCGCTGCATTAGAGACATCCCTTCGCACCTCCGCGGTGCCAGATACGTTGGAAATCCCCGTGGCATCCTGGCAGCCATCGCAGTATCTCGGCTTTCAAAAGCCCGGTGGGTTGATGTTTTTTTTTGGGGGTTATACTATAGTATACTATTGTATAGTAACTATATATTATATATACATTAATATACCCAACTATATACTATATTGATCTATATTGGGTATATAATGATTATATGATATAGTAACTATACCCATATTAATACGCAATATATGGGGATAGAATAGGAATGGTATTGGGATTATTGGATATTGGGATAAGACTCAATCGCAGTGTGTGGAAATCTGAAATCTCGCTTTTCCTTAGGATCTCGACATCATTGTGTCATTGCGTTCACAAATCCATTTCCTCTGCCATGTCAGTTGGGTGTTCACTGCCAGGCCTTCCACATGTGTAGTGAAAAGGATCGCGACATCGACCTGGCTTCCTTGCAGGACCAGTGGATACCGGGACCAGTGGATACCGGGACCAGTGGGATGCCAAAAAATTCTCCGAATTTCGACCGAACGTTTGAAAAAATCGCAGGGGCTGATCTACCAGAGCAACCCCACCTTGGAACCGGTGGTGAAATGGTGCAGCTGCCAGTGTTTTAAGCCAAGCGCAGATGCAACAGCTGTAACAAAGACATCTGGAAACCGCCCAGCCAGGCCACACGCACTTTCGATGCGTGACTTGGCACAGGTCGACATGGCATACTGTAATGCGTAACAAGAATTTCCCCGAGTATCCCCGAGTAAAACGGCCCCCCGAGCAAAAAAACGGCCGTTTTCAATCGTTTGAAAAGGTATACCGGTGTACCCCATTTTCAGACACCAACTTGTTTTTTTTTTCAGGGATATTTTGGGATATTTTGGCATATTTTTTTCTCTCCAAGTGGCCGTTTTCTGAGGCTTTTTGCCGGCGACAGTGGATTCGGACATTGAGGACTGATGAAATCCCACGGCAGCCCTGCATCGATGTGCTGTCGATGTGCTGAGCCAAGCTCTACCATCACCTGCCAGTACAAAGGCTACATCGAGGGCAATCCCAGGTGCCGTTTGTTGAATGGTATAATTGTATATAGTTGTCATCATTAAATGTGGCATAGCTTCTTGCAGGAATGGCAGCAACATTGTTGACAGCATGTCATGGCTGCCCCAAACTTTTACCATGTTTTTCCTTTTGGTAACTTTGGTGCTGCATAGCGACGCTTCCCATGTTTCGAAGTTGAACCTTGGAATGGGACTTCTTAAACTTGGAATGCCCCCAAGCCATTGGTTTCCCCATTCAGAAGTGACATATTTTGGATGATTCTTGGGTCCCATCAAAAAAGAAACCACCCTTAAAAAATATCCCAAAGTATCATCATTATCCTATACTTACACGCATCGATATCCGATATCCCATTAACATTCGATATGTGGATATTATATTTTCATGATAGGATATTTTTATGGGTGTAATAGGAGATTCATAGGATTACGCCCATTATAATATCTGGTTGGTGGTGGGGAACATTTTTTATTTTCCATAATATATGGGATAATCCTTCCCATTGACTTTCATATTTTTCAGAGGGGTGGGTATACCACCAACCAGGAATAGTAATATCATGACCTTGGAATATTTCAGTTACTGGGATATACTTGGAATATCTTGAAATACAGAGGGGATTCTCAAATGATTTGGATATGATTGGTGGTTGACACCCATAATACCCTCTGGATCCCTCTGGTAAACTGTTTTCAATGGGTAAATCCACTATTTTTGTGGCCATTTTCAATAGCAAACAGTTAGTTTACCAGGTAAATCCCATTAAATCCCATTAAATCCCATTAAATCCCATTAAATCTCATTAAATAATGGTGAAATCCCATTAAATCCCATTAAATCCCATTAAATCATGGTGAAATCCCATTAAATCCCATTAAATCCCATTAAATCCCATTAAATCATGGTGAAATCCCATTAAATCCCATTAAATCCCATTAAATCATGGTGAACTCCCCCATGTTTCATGTTAGTCATTACCAGAGGCGAACCGAAAAAACGGTCACCGTCACCTCAGGCGTCCAGGGCTGCGAGGGGAGGCCGTCCTGGAGAGGATCCAGCGCTGGCCGGAGCGACCCAAAGACCGTGCGGACACCCGACGAGACCATAACATAACTATGGAAAACCAGCATTTTTCGTGGGAAAATCCACTATTTCTATGGTCATTTTCAATAGCTATGTTAAAGTACCAGAGGGTATATATGTGATTATATGTGTATATATATATATTGTATATGGCTATGGATCAATACCTATTAATAGCATTTTTAGGGGAATGAATATCCATAAATCCCAGCTATTTGATTAATTATCATCATTATCCTATAATTAATTACACCTATTGATATCCGATATCCCTTACAAACATTATGTGGATATTGTATATTAATTTTCATTATAGGATATATGTTTATGGGTATAATAGGAGATTCATAGGATTACACCCATTATAATATCTGGTTGGTGGTTTGGAACCATGGAATTTTATGACTTTCCCATCATAGTGGGAATGTCATCATCCCAACCGACGCACTCCATCCAATCATCATGGGTTTAGGGCAAGCTCCATTTCGGATGATTTAGGACGGACACCTCCAAAATTGGGGAACCTCCAATGAGTCTAAAATCATCCGGTTGATGTTCGGATCGACTGGATTTTCCATGATTTTCCATTTTTTTAACCATCCATAACTGGGTTTAAAAAAACCCATGGATGGAACCAACTGAGACCAATCGACCAATCCGGTTTCCCAAAAGTGACATGTTCTGAGGATTAGACAACTTGCACCATCACTGGCAGGCACTGACTCCAACTGGGCATGGTTTTCTCAAACCAACCCGGGAAGTTCCTCGGAAGTCTCAAACTCCTATGCTTTATCATGGTTTATCATCATTTTTTCACTTGTTTATTGACATAAACAGAAGCTAAACGTCCTGCATTTTTTTTTACCGCAATGTGAACATCGGAGACCACAGAGATGTTTTCAGCGGTCAGGTGCAGGAACTGTCCAGAAAGTTTTTCAGCAGGGCCGGCAGCGTCTTGGAACGTCGTGGCTGTCATGATGGCTTCGATGATGTCCTTTTCTGATTGGTTGATAGAGGGCCCACCAGGTAAATGATGATTTATATTGTAGCCTCTGGTTATTTGTTACATAGCCATGGAAAGATCCACCATGCTATTAATAGGTAAACCCAGTTGTTCACCATCTATTTTCATGGGCCATGGCTTAACCATGGCAAACTGTTAGTCATAACCAGATGGTAATTATTGTACCCATTGGGCCCATGTCTCATCATTGTTTTGGAATGTCTTGTTTTGGGCATTGTTTTAGAGGGCCAGATTTGTCGCCGAAGAGAACGATGGCGATACAGAAGCTCGGTACAAAATCATCCACTTTTTGTAAGCGGTACATTCCGATGCATCCACAGATTTGGGTCTTGTTTCGTACTAAACCATACAAAACCATCGACATTGGAGCAGGTTGGAGCCAGGTTGGAACCAGGTTGGAGCCAGTTTTGAGACGTGACAGTGCTGACTTCCAAGGTTCAGCTGTCGCTTCGGGCGCTGTCTCTGCCCGGTGAAGGTTGGAGGGAGTGGGTCGGTGGCGATGGAGCTGATGAAACCAAAAGCAACTGGGGATGAAGACCTATGAAGAGGGAAGGAGGTTTTTAGGGACAGTAACAGGGGCTTTTCCAAACAGTTGCAACTTTACGAGAAAGTCTGGTTTTTTTTTGCGACCGTCTCCACGGAGAAGGGTTTTTTGCAACGGTTCAGCGAGGGTTTTTTGCGACGGTTCAGTGAGTAGCATCAGTGGCGCAGAGTAAGGGGAGGGGGAGGAGGCGGAGGCGGAGGCGGAGGCGGAGGCGGAGGAGGAGGAGGAGCTAGGAGGAGGAGGAGGAGGAGTCGAGGCGGTTGGCGCGGGCACGAGGAACGACTGAGAGCGACGAGTGGTAGTGGTCGCACGGGTGCAACATGATCGGTAGTAGCCGGGTAAGGGTGGATAGTGGGTGGCAGACAGTGAGTAGCATCAGTGGCGCAGAGTCGGGGGAGGAGGAGGAGGCGAAGGCGGAGGAGGTGGAGGAGGTGGAGGAGGTGGAGGAGGAGGAGGAGTCATCGAGGCGGTTGGCGCGAGCACGAGGAACGAGTGAGAGCGACGAGGGCCGACGATGACGACGACGACGACTCCTCCTCCACCTCCTCCTCCTCCGCCTCCTCCTCCTCCCCCGACTCTGCGCCACTGATGCTACTCACTGTCTGCCACCCACTATCCACCCTTACCCGACTACTACCGATCATGTTGCACCCGTGCGACCACTACCACTCGTCGCTCTCACTCGTTCCTCGTGCCTGCGCCAACCGCCTCGCCGACGACGACGACGACTCCGACGACGATGCCGACGACGACGACGCCGTCGACGACGCCGGCGATGCCGACGACGACGCCGACGACGACGACGACTCCGACGACGATGCCGACGAGCTGCGCTTGTGTGCTTTGATGGTGCTTTTGTTGCCTCCTTGTGTGATGTTGTGGAAGAGGTGGTGTTGCGCAGCTGCGCGTGGCGGTGCCTATAAACAAGCGGGAGGGGGGTGCAGGGGGAGGGCGCAGCGCCTCCCCCGCAGGGCGTTCCATACTTCCACGAACGAATGTTGATGTCGGTTGACGACGTTTGATGTATATATAGAGCGTTGTAGAATCTAGCCGCGACAGTTCAGGAGGGTGACGAAGAGGCGTAGGTGGTAGTGTAAACCGTAGTGGTAGTGGTAGCAATGGTGCAACATAGTCGGTAGTGGCTGTGGTATAGACAGTGGCCGTAGTGAGTGTAGTGGTAACGGTATAGCAAAGGTGCGTAGTGGTAGTGGTCGCAAATGTGCAACATGATCGGTAGTAGCCGGGTAAGAGTAGATATTGGGTGGCAGACAAAATAGGGGGGGGGACGACGCCGCCGAGCTGCGCTTGTGTGCTTTGATGGTGCTTTTTGTCGCCTCCTTGTGCGATGTTGTGGAAGAGGTGGTGTTGCGCAGCTGCGCGTGGCGGTGCCTATAAACAACCGGGAGGGGGTGCAGGGGGAGGGCGCAGAGCATCCCCGCGCAGGTCGTTCCATGTTAATGTGGTCGCGGAGCAGTGGTCGCGGAGCCGGATGAGGTGGTCTTGCGCAGCCTACAAGTAGAAGTAGTAGTAGAAGTAGTAGAAGTAGTAGTAGTAGTAGTAGTAGTAGTCGTAGTAGTAGTAGTAGTCGTAGTAGTAGTAGTAGTAGTAGTAGTAGTAGTCGTAGTAGTCGTAGTAGTCGTAGTAGTCGTAGTAGTCGTAGTAGTCGTATACGTAGTAGTCGTATACGTAGTAGTCGTAGTAGTCGTAGTAGTCGTAGTAGTCGTAGTAGTCGTGTAGTAGTCGTGTAGTAGTCGTATAGTAGTCGTATAGTAGTCGTATAGTAGTCGTATAGTAGTCGTATAGTAGTCGTATAGTAGTCGTATAGTAGTCGTATAGTAGTCGTATAGTAGTCGTATAGTAGTCGTATAGTAGTCGTATAGTAGTCGTATAGTAGTCGTATAGTAGTCGTAGTAGTCGTAGTAGTCGTAGTAGTCGTAGTAGTCGTAGTAGTCGTAGTAGTCGTAGTAGTCGTAGTAGTCGTAGTAGTCGTAGTAGTCGTAGTAGTCGTAGTATAGTCGTAGTAGTCGTAGTAGTCGTAGTAGTCGTAGTAGTCGTAGTAGTCGTAGTAGTCGTAGTAGTCGTAGTAGTCGTAGTAGTCGTATACGTAGTAGTCGTAGTAGTCGTAGTAGTCGTGTAGTAGTCGTGTAGTAGTCGTGTAGTAGTCGTATAGTAGTCGTGTAGTAGTCGTATAGTAGTCGTATAGTAGTCGTATAGTAGTCGTATAGTAGTCGTATAGTAGTCGTATAGTAGTCGTATAGTAGTCGTATAGTAGTCGTATAGTAGTCGTATAGTAGTCGTATAGTAGTCGTATAGTAGTCGTATAGTAGTCGTATAGTAGTCGTAGTAGTCGTATAGTAGTCGTAGTAGTCGTAGTAGTCGTAGTAGTCGTAGTAGTCGTAGTAGTCGTAGTAGTCGTAGTAGTCGTAGTAGTCGTAGTAGTCGTAGTAGTCGTAGTAGTCGTAGTATAGTCGTAGTAGTCGTAGTAGTCGTAGTAGTCGTAGTATAGTCGTAGTAGTCGTAGTAGTCGTAGTAAGTAGCTAGTAGCTAGTAGCTAGTAGCTAGTAGCTAGTAGCTAGTAGCTAGTAGCTAGTAGCTAGTAGCTAGTAGCTAGTAGCTAGTAGCTAGTAGCTAGTAGCTAGTAGCTAGTAGCTAGTAGTAGTAGTAGTAGTAGTTGTTGTTGTTGTTGTTGTCGCAATGCCTGTCTTTCCGCTGCCCGTCGCAAAAAAACCCTCCACCGACGCAAAAAACTTTCACTATTCGTTCACCGTCGCAAAAAACATCCCTAGCCGTCGCAAAAAAACCTTCTGAACCGTCGCAATAAACCCTCTGGCATTCCCCGTCGCAAAAAACCCTTCTAGCATTGCACCGTAGCCAAAAACCCCGGTTACCGTCGCAAAAAACCCGAAGCCCCTATGAAGACCTATGCTGGTTGGTGGTTTCAAACATTTTTTATTTTCCATAATATATGGAATAATCCTTCCCATTGACGAACTCATATTTTTCAAGATGGTTAAAACCACCAACCAGTATGAGGAAACGATTGAAATATCGAATTTGGGGGTGAAGCCGGTGAAACTTCAAAAATTTCAGCTTTCCGTTGCCAGAAGATGTGGTTTTTAGGCTGTCACGGCCCAGCTTTCCGTTGCCAGGTCGATGAGAATCCGCCAGTGATGTGGCGAATACGTGGCGATGTGGCTCGCCTGAACAGCCACGTAGTGCTGCATGGAGCGCTGATCCAAAGTTGGGAGGCGAAAACTTCGCGCTGACGGGCAAATGGTTGAGGTTTCGATTGGGGTTTCTAGTATTTTCTAGTAACTTTTGCAACCTTTTCTAGTATTTTCTAGTTTTTTATTGACAGTAGTATATTTTCTAGTAACCTTTAAGCAACTGTCAAGAGAGGTTCTAAAACCAGGACTAAAGTGACGCTTCGAAAGAAAACTTGACATATTGACATCAGCTCGGGTCTTCAGGGAGTCTTTCTGTTTGCAGTTTCAGGCGGGCTCAAATGTGCATCGCCGGCGCATACTCAAAAAAATATGCAGTTTTGAATATAGCCCCTGCACCAGCAAGTGCCAGCTTGGACAGACAATAATTAAACTTGATTATGGTTTTTGTCATTACCAATACTATTGATATTATTCTTGCTATTATTAGCATTATTAATATTGATATTACAAACATATTGATTGTTAATAATTTTTATCATCTACCAATCACTATATTTATTTGGTACTAATCATGCTCCTTGTTATTATTGTTGCTATTGTTATCTATCAATTATACTATTATTCGTCATTGTTATTTCTAATCATCCTTGTTACATCTTGTTACTATCTACAACTATTACCATCATTTATTGACCACCATTGAACACTTCTTGCACCATCTACATCATGTCATCACACCTCCTTCATGGAAGCAGCTGGTGGACGTGAGCAGAGGACACAGTGGTGGGTGGAGTGTGGTCCAGCTTCACCATAGGTTTCTCGAGAAATATTAGGTCATTTAAAGGGGATGATGATCCATGATCAGTGATCAACCTTTGGACATTGGGGTGGTTGTTGGTGTTTTTTTGGGAGACTTTCAGTTGTCCCAAATATGCTATGATATATTATATATACTATGTATTATAATATATATATATATATATACATCCATACATCCATACATCCATACATCCATACATCCATACATCCATACATATATATATTATTGCATACAGATATAGATAAGGAATCTGTTGATGAAGGAGTCCCCCTTCAAATCCAACTTGCTTCAACTCTTGCTGTACTTTTTGATCCCCACGATCTGTATATCCAAGGCTCCAAGGGCAATGATCTGACCCCGAAGATTCGCTCGCCAGGACTTCTGCGCAGGCCCTGGGGCAGTTCCTCTTTTGCGGCGAGCGGCATCCCCAGCTGTTTCAGCTCCACCGTGGCAACGTCGTGAGTGGAGCAATGCTAAGCCCTGCTAAGCTGCGAGCAGCTGCTAAGGCTTGGAGGCTATGCCGATTTGGAAAAGAAGGCATGGTGTGACAGTGTGTTTCAGGATAAGACTCTCAAATCTCAAACGATCTAAAACGTTTTTTTTGCGGCTGAACTTTCACGAAGAGTTTCGCATTCATTATTTTCACAGAGTTTCTCTTGGATCATTTTGATCGGCATCTCCGCAGTTGACCCCCAAAAAAACCAGGTTAGGCTGCCTTCCCTGCAGAGCCTTGAGAAGCAGCTTGAGGCACTCCGACAGTATCGACAGTGACACTTTGCCAACTCTGTTGATTTTTGCCCTCTCCAAAGCTTGTCGACTGGTGATATTATTGCCACTGTTGCCACTGTTCGAGTTTTTCTAGCTACACATTTTTTGCAGGTTATAATCAGATGATATCATATATATATATATATGATATAATAATATAGATGTAATATGTATAGCTGCTTATAAAAACAATGCCTTCCCATTTTGGTTAACTGCTGTCACTCTGCCGGTCGCAGTCCCCTGCCCGATAGGCCACCCGTGCTGCGCAGAGCCTTCTCTCAAAGCCCCTCGGACCGATGTCGTTGAGAACTGGTTTTAAGCAACAACCAGTTGGGATATAATGGGGTTTATAACGGGAAAATGGGATATATGCATATGCGTATATATATATAGACATATATGTATATATATATATATATGTGATACACCGACTTAACATGATATGACATATGCCAGTCAGAATGAGGTTATGATGGGGATGTAAAGTAGATCATGGGGATATTGTAATAGTCTATGGGATATAATGGATACAGAATGCATAACCAACGAAAAATTGCTGTGTCTGAAGACAATTGACCGACGAATCCATGGCCATTGAAGATAGGGATCATGATGATTCACCAGTAGATAGAACTGGTTTTCCCACAATTGCAGACTAATTCGGATCGGTTTTCTTTCACAAATATATTCATGCAACATGTTTTTTTAAAGGCAGCAACGACCAGGTTGGTGTCACATGTGTTGGTGCCTTGATGACCTTGGTGCACTTCGCCAGGCAAGTGCGCTCCACTCCTTTGCTGCGGGTGCGCCGCATTTCCCCGCTGAGTGGTGATGGCAAGGTGTATCTAAGGTCAACATTTTGCTAAGCCAATCTCCACTTCAGAAGTCCGGCTCTATCCCTTGTTTCTCCTGTTTGCAACTGGCTGATAATACATTTTTTTGTTGTATATATATATATTCTTTATACAAACATGGAAAACACACATCTGGATGTGCATCCAACATCATCCGACTATCTGGTTATTCTCATATGCATGATATCCATTGATATCCTGCATGATATCCATGGTTCGAATTTGATGGGATTCCATCACACCACCGGGCAACCCATCACCGTGGCCATGGCCAGCATGGCCAGGTCCCGGCCCTGCCACCCCTGCCGCGGAGCTCCTCGCGCGGCGAGCCGTTCCGCGGTCACGAGTGGCGCGAGGCGCGCGAGGCGCCAAAGGCGCGCGAGGTGCCAAGCGCTCCACCTCCCAAGGAGGCTGCCGTTGCTCCAATTTTTTGACCCATCCATGACAATCCATCCATGATCATCAAAATGATTCAACATGTTTCGATTTTTTGAGGTTTAACTCACGATTATCAGATGATTATCCATGGGATTGTTACCATCATAAGCCATGATTTACCTCTCAAAATAGGTCTGAAACAAACGGGTTGCCATGGCTCGCCAACGTCGACGCGAGCCACCCCAACTTCCAGGTGAAGGCGCAAGCGTCGCGAGATGCGCCGGGTCCACAAGAGCTTCCAGGTGGGGCAGGAGGATGTGGATGGGTCATGGGTCATAATTTTGATATTATATGATATTATATGCAAATTTTCCCATCATCCAATTCTGTGACAGTAATATCAGTAATCAAAAACCGGTTCTTAGGATTCTGACAGGTGCTCCTCTTGGCTGTGAAAAATACCATCTGGTTATTTAACACAGCCATGGAAAATCACCATTTTTAATAGGTAAACCCAGGTAAACCATCTATAAATGGGCAATTTTCCATGGCTATGTTAAATAACCAGAGGGTATATCTGGTTGGTGGTTTGGAACATGGCTTGAATTTTTTTTTGGGGAATCGCTTTTTCAGAGGGGTGGCTCAACCACCAACCAGATATGTGATGGATTTATAATATTTATAGTGTTTACAACCCTATCTCAAGAATCCTCAAAATGGGTTCCGAATTATTTGGTGGGTAGCAGGTAGCTTAAAAGTTGATATCAGGCAGGTAGTTGTGGATTGAACAAAGACAGCATCATTCCGGCCATGTGATTCGAGTGACCGCCACAATCTGCACTGCTTCCTTCGGTGCGAAGCAACAACGACAGATTGCTAAGCCTAGCTGGACAATGGTTGATGGAGTTTTGCTGGCTTTTTTCCATAATCTCTTGACATTCTTGACGATCAGAGTCTGACATCTACCCTCTGGTGACATCTGAAACTATCTGGCATTTTGAGCAGAAACTCATTTTCCAATCCCTGGCAGGGTCTATGTTGATTTACCCTCTGGTAATTTAACATAACTATGGAAAATCACCATTTTTAATGGGAAAACTCACTATATATCTTGATTTTCCATAGTTATGTTAAATTACCAGAAGGTACTGGGTAACATAGGTCAAAACCCCAAAGAATGATCAAAACTCTGTGGATGGTCGTGCCTCGAAGGCGCTCGAGTAAAACGCAGCGAGCTCCGCGAGCCCCGGGAGCTCCGGAAGGTTCAGTTCGTTCACGGTGAGGGATAAGCATTGATCGAGGGAAATACCAACTGGTGCTATTGGCTGGATCTATTTGGCTATGGATCAATACCTATAAGTACCATTTTTAGGGTGATGAACATCCATAAATCCCAGCTATTTTGAGGTGAACTACAGGGGTACTATTGGTTTTGACCCATCCCCATTTAGGCTCATCTTGGCTAGGGAATCCTCGGCCATGGCTTGATTTTTCAGGCACCGCGTCAAGCTGGCCAAGAACAGGTGGTTTTCCGCGCGTTTCTCAGATTCCACAAGAACAGAATAGCACAAACAGCTGGATTTCTCAGAACTTTCGTTGTGATGTCAATTTGGAGGCCATTTGGGAGTTGGATCAATCTCACAACATCATATTCCAATCTGTTATATATTATATAGATTTATAAAGTATATATTTCCAACTATATAATATATCATATTCTGTTCCAATCATATTCTGTATATCATATTCTATAGTTCTATCATATCCAATTCTATCAGATTTGGAGACCATCATATTCTGTTCAAACTGCATCACTGAGGTTCCCAAGAGGTCGCTGAAACTTGTGAAACCCGTGAGATCCGTGGCGGCGGCGGTGGCGCCGGAGGCGTTCGAGTTCACCGGTGGACTGCTTTGCCGTGGTGAGAATTCGGAACAAATACAATGTGAATACGTGCCTAATCCCCAATGACTATATGCCAAACATGTGCGTTATATATAATATAACAAATAATATATATATATATATATTATAGTATATAGTATATAATATATAACATATAATATATAATAATATATATATAATATAAAATATAATATATAATATATAATATACAGTATATAATATATAACATATCATATATATATATAATATACGATACATGATATGATATGATATTATTTAATATCATAATATATATATAATGTCATACAATATATAATATAGGCCTGTTCCAATAGGCTTGCAACCCATCTTTGGTAGAAAGCTGG